TTTGAGCTTTGCTGGTGTGGGTCACTCTCAGCCTCCAGCATTCCCATGCTGGTCGCTGCTTCCTGGGATGTTCTGGGTGCATGGTTCCCTCCCGGGATGCTCTGCCTTCCGTTGGGTACCAGGCATCCTGCACTGGGATTCAGGGACTCCTGGGCTCCACAGCTGTAGTATAGAGATGAAGTCTTCCTATCTATGCCTGAACAGCCCTTTCCTTCCTTATTCTGCAGACCCTTGGACAGGTCTGTGGCCCTGCTGCCCTCAACTTACTTGGGTAACACTTGCCTTAAACCCCCATCATGCTGAGCATCCCTCTGAGAACGTCCCTTTGCCACTCAGTCCTCCCTTTTCACCCTGCAGCAGCTCCCTGAGGAGTCAATAGGAGGATTTCTGAGCGATGCCAGACAAAGCCAGTGGGGTAAATCCTGTTTGTGCAGAGCACTTAAAGACACGTGGCTTAAAGGCACGAGAAGTTAGGGAAAGGTGGTGTGAGGCTGAAGCTTGCTCTGGGGTGTCCGGAGCACAAAGAGTGGGACAGAGCACCCTGAGCAGGGATTTCTGTGGTGAGAAACCTGCTGGCACAGGAGGTGGAGTTGTGCATCCCTGCTTTAAGGACTCATAGACTGCAATAACTCCTTCCTGGGTGCCTGTCTCTGGGGTGTTCATTCTCACACTTCCCCCTTCTCAGTCCTTGTTTCTCCTGGAGTATTTTAACCAAGTTATTGCCTCGTCTGCCCTCTGCTATCACCCTGCTCTGACCCCAGTGGGATGTCCCTGCTGACCCTCTCCACCCACCACAGCCTCCTCCATGCAGCACCCGAGCCAGGAGCTGGACAGGAGCAGCAGCAGCCCAGGAAGAAGATAAAAGCTCAGAGCAGAAGCAGCTTCTTCCATCCTCAGTGGTGCTGCCCACACCTCTTCCACCTCCCATGGGACTGGCGAGTCCTTGGCTCCTGGCTTGCTGTGTCACTTCTAGGGACAACCCAGCTAAGTGAGGTCTATTTATATGAATGTTCCCAGCTCTTCCCACTCCACAAATTCACCCAGAGACTGTCTTGATTGTATAATACACATTATATGGAAGCTATTTATATATGAATGAATGTTTTTATAGAAAGGAAGGCAAGGAGCTCGTGTTCTCCCTCCTCCATTAAACTGGAACGGCGGCTCTGGTTGCCAGATAGCAATCTCTGACCAGCACAGATGTGTTAGCAAAGGACTGACTGATTCCTGCTTTCAATAAACTGTGGTTTGCTGGTTTTCCTGGTTGTACCATTCCCATCGGAGGTGCTCGTGTCCCAGCATCCTTGGAGCTTGGAAAGGAACACAAGGATTTAGTAGAGCGGATGAAGGAGCTTTGTAACACTCGGAGGCGATGGTGGGTTGTCTAGGCTAGCTGTTTACACTTCTTTCTACCAATAGGAACTTTGCAATGGGCAAACCCTTCTAGATCCACTAGTGCTGGAGCTGTTCCTTCGGACTCCCCTAGGGAATCAAAGGGAAAGTTGCTGTAGCGTTTAGAGCCACCCAAGTGTTCGGTATTGCTTCTTGTACTGCGTTTTCCAATAAACTCTCAAACAAAACCAGTCCCTGACCCTGAAGCCTTTTTCCCTTCTCTCTCTTCTCCAAGGGCTCTCTTCCCAGCCTGGCTTCATGGCAGTTCGCTTTGTCCAAACTAAGCTGGACCCGTTGCCTCTGAACCGCATCTGCTGCCGTGTGCAGTGGTACCCAGCGCTCCCCCAGCCCTGAGCTGTGTTTTCCTGCACTCCCAGTGCTTTCAGACCCTCAGGCAGCTCCAGGGGGGCACCAAGACCCCCAGAAAGAGCCAGCGGGGACCCCAAGAGGCCAGGTTTCCCCTAAAGCATCACCACTCGATGGAGAGCCTCCCTTTAAGCTACTGCGTGAGGTTCCTGCCCAGGGGCTGAGCTGGAGCAGGGGAGATGGTGTCCAGCCCATCCTCTTCTGTTTGTTTGTTCCACCTCACGGCCGCAGCAGCTTTGGGAGGGATAGGGATACCCAGCAGAAAGCTGATGGGGCAGCTTGGCCACCAGCCCCATAGAGAACAGCGGCCAGTTGGGACAGCGGGAGAAGGGGAACGGGGTGGGAAGAGCATCCCTATGGCAGAGGCAGCCGTGTGGCTGGCTGTGGTACCACCCCTGTGCCTCAGTTCCTCCAGCAGACAGATGGGGAAGGGTTCCACACCCCCATGCTGTCCCATGTCTGTATTCACATGCTAAAAGCAACATGAAGCCAAGCTCCATCTCGCTGCCTTTGCTTCCAGGCGGCTCCGAGTGTTCAATGGGAACACACAGGACCGCAGGGATGAGGCTGGGATCACTGGGGACCGGGCACCGCTGGAGCTGCTGCTCCATAACGTGTCACAGCAGCTTGAATCACTTCCAACGTTATTCCTGCAGCAGCCCCGGGCTCCTCGCCTTGTCCGACCCAATTAGGGTCACAGCAAGAGATGCTTAAATAACCCTGTCCTGGGGAGCCTGCAGCGAGCGCATTGGGGGTGATGAGGCACAGCCAGGCAGGAGCTGCAGCTCCAAAGGCATCGGGTGGGGGACAGCTGAATCCATCTGCACCTTGGGCTGTCAGACCCTGCTCAGCCATAGGGAACCATGGGATGGGTTCGATTGGGAGCGACCCTAAAGCACATCCAGCTCCAACCGCCTGCTCTGGGCAGGGAGAGCATCCCCTAGGGCAGGTCCAGACCACGTCCTGTGGAAGGGGGAGTTTGCCTGGCTACAAGGAAGGGAAAACATCGAGCAAACAAACACCATGGCAATGCCGAGAGACGCAAACAAACACAAGGAAACCCACAGCAAACCTCTTGTCCCATCACCAGCAGAAGGCAGCAGCAGCCCACAGCTCCCTGGGGGCCCAGCCTGGGCTCCTGGGTGGCCCCTGGATCCCACACTGAAGTCTCCATCTTGCGGTCCCATCCCTTGGGAAGGAGCCACAGGAGCCATTTCCCTTCCTCACCCATCCCTGGTCCTGCCGGGGTCTCCATCCCGGTCCGCAGCCTCCATCACCCCCAGGAGAAGCGTTCCCATTCCCGCACCCGCTCCTTCCAGCCTGGGCTATTTTGGGGTTGTTCCTCCCGGGCACGGCTCAGGGCAGCCAATCCCGTTCCCAATGGATCAGTGCCAGGCCTGGGGGTCAGGGCTGCTCCCAGGGCTCCGGAGGGAACGGCTGCAGGAGCGGGGTCAGCTCCATCCCAAATCACCGTCCCTGCCACCCTGCTCCATCACCGCATCCCTCCCAACCCCTCCATCACCCCATGGAGAGGGACACAGCAGCTGGGTTCACCCCCCTGCCCCCGGGATGGACCCGTGGTGCGGTGCCCACCTGCACCCAGTGATCCCCAGGGAGCTGCATGCAGGGACTCCAGAGGATAAAAGCTGCTTCAGAAAGATGCCGCCGTCTGCCCAGGTGGTACCCGGCTCTGGGGATGCTCCCTCTCCCCATGGCTGTGCCCAACCAGCCCCAGCTCTTGGGCCTCAACCCAACAGATGGAGATGGATTTGATGTTAAAGAAAAGCCTTTTTTGGGCAAAGAAGGACCAGGTCTGACCCCAGCATTGGGCCGAGGTTTGTCCCAGTGCTTGGTTGAGCCGGTGGCACAGCTGGGACACTCCAGCCTTAGGAACACAAAGGGTATTCCCGGATATTCCTCCAGGTCCTGTATATTTGAACCAGGCCCCATCACCGCTGCTTTGTGGCCAGTGGGACCCATCACCTCCTCGCCCCTGTCCCCATCCCCACAACCCTCCTGGACAGGCTTCCATGGGGACACCGCAGCCACGCGCTGGTGGGAATCAACGGGGCTGAGCCGCACAGCAGTGACCAGAGAACACCTTCCCTAGGGAAAAACATGGCAAAGACCCTGGGAAAGGATCAGGGAAGAAACAACAGAGGCAAAACTGCTTGCTTGGAAGTAAAGAGGAGCGGCGCTTCCCTGCCCCAGGCTGGGATGGGATCCGAGCTGCATCCCTCCGCGCAGCATCACCCGACGGAGCAGACCTGCTCCTTCATTTTCCATTCTATCCACGTTCTCCTACTGCTGTAACTTCCTTTTCCAACTATGGTTTTCCTGCTAGAACTTCCCTGCTGAAGGGTTTTGTTCCTGTGCTACCTCCCCATGGGGACCACAACACCCCAGTGCCAACGCTGCATCTCCGCCCTCATTCCACGCAGATCCTGTTCTGCACCCAGAGGACACCAAATAACACCACAGCACCCAACAGGGCTCAGCCAAACCAGCACCAAACGCTCCCCCTCCCCTCCCTGCCCATCACATCCCTCCTCCCACAGCCCACATCCTTCACCCCCCCAATCAGCACAAACAATCCCTGTCCCGTAGATGGGATTTGGGAACCGCTGCTGCCTGCACCTCCCCTGGGCTCCATTTGCATCCCTGCTCTCCTAAAACCCCTCCAGTTTCCCACCTCATCCTGCACATACCCATCATTTACACAGCATCCCCACTCTGAGCCTGGGGGGGGCAGCAGGTCTTGGACACCCTTAGGGACCCGCTGCCCACCCTGAGCATCCCTCCATCAACACGAGGTGGGACCACATGGCATCAAGGTAAGATTTAATAGCCCCATTGGGTTTACGTGCTCTGGTCAAGCAAACCTTCCAGGGGGTTGAGGCTGGGCAAGGGGACACCCCCCTCCCCAGAGCATCCCCCCCACTCCGGTGCAATAAAGTGCTGCAGGGGCCGGTGGGGCTTCACCCACCCAATGTCCCCATCCTGCAGTTTGTGCTGGGTCTCAAAGCCAGGGCTCTTCTGGAAAAGCCACCAGGAAAAGGGCTTTGTAAGGCCAAGGGCATCCACTGGGAAGACATCGAGAGGCAGCCGGGAGGGGGACATCGCACCCCAGGTGAGTCCTCCCGCAGCAGCAGCAGGTCAAGACCCCCCTCTTGGCACTGCTTCACATCAGCACCCCTGAACCCCTCCCCCGGATGTGGGTTTTGGGGTCTCAGGTGGGTGCTGGGGGTGTCAGACCCGCGTTCCCTGCTCCATCCCCACCGCCCAGGAGCTGGGCCGGGGCTCGCTGTGCTCCAGCAGCCGGTCCGAGGACTCGCCGCTGCTCTCCAGCTTGCTGTACCCCACCAGGCTGACATGGTCCAGCCGCGGCCAGCTCCGGTTCTTACGGTCCTTGATGGGGGCCACCAGCAGCACCCCGGGCTGGCCCAGGTCCAGGGACTTGGAGTGCCCTGGGGCGTGGAGCTGCGCATCGGGGCCGAGCTCCGTCCCCACCGGCTCCGCGCCTCCATCCACGTTGATGATGATGTGGCCACCACCAGGGTCATGGCTGCTGATGCCTCCAGGCTGGGAGGGCTGCGGGGCTTCATGGTGGGGCTCTGCAGGGCCCCCTCGCGCCGCTGCATCCAAGAGGCAGTTGTTGAGCTTGATGACGGGCAGCGCCAAGGCGCCCACAGCCGAGGAGAGGAGGGACTCGGCCCCGGGGTGCGGGGAGAAGCCGAGGTTGGCCTCGGTGGAGGCCCCGGAGCGGAGGCTGAGCAGGGAGGCAGCGGGAGACGCCACCGGGCGCTGCAGGAACTCGGCCGTGGTCTGGAGCCTGTTGGAGCCGTAGCAGTTGGACCACTTGGTGCTGGGGCAGGGCTGGCCCGAGAGGTCCACGCGGTAGCAGCCCTCCACGCACTCAGCGTTGGCCTTGGGCACGGGATGGGTGTCCCCGCGCTGGCAGTGCCCGTCCCCGGGGCCGGTCCCCTCGGGCAGAGCTGCCACCATGCAGTAGAGCCCCTTCTGCATGAGCCTGCGCGTCTCCATGTCCCTGTTCTCGTACAGCATGGTGTTGGCGCAGATGAAGATGAAGAGCCCGATGCCCATGATGACGGGGCCGATCAACTTGAGCTTCTCGCTGTGGGGCACGTGGCGCGCGGCCGCCACCTCCCTCCTCATGTCCCCAGTGACGTTGGTGGCACCGGCGGCCCCAGCTCCGCGGTGGGGCCAGTAGCCCACCACGGCGATGGTCATGCCCACCAGGACCACCGAGATGCCCACCATGACGAAGGCTCCCGATGGCGAGCGCATGCGGAGCTGCCCCTTCACCGGCGCCTCCGTCGGGGACTTGCGCCGCCGCAGACGATGCCCTCGGCGCCGCGGTGGGGCTGGGGGCACCGGGGGCACCGGGGACCTCGTGGCCCCCGGCTCTGGCTCCCGCATGGGCCCGTTGCTCTCGGTGTTCTCCGCGGTCATCGTGTCCGGCCCGGCCGCTCTTCCTGCTGTGGGGGGGAGGAAGAGGGGAAGAGGCATCACTGGGGATCTGTGTGCCCGGGGTGATGGGAGCATGGATGTGGGCATGGGGAGCATGGGGATGGAGGGAGGATGGGGATCGCAGGGACACAGAAGGGACATAAAACACATTGGTGTTGGGAAAGGGAAAGGGGAAGGGGAAAGGGAAAGGGAAGGGAAAGGGGAAAGGGAAAGGAAAAGGAAAAGGGGAAAGGGAAAGGAAAAGGAAAAGGGGAAAGGGAAAGGGGAAGGGGAAAGGGGAAGGGGAAAGGGGAAGGGGAAAGGGAGAGGGGAAAGGGAAAGGGAAGGGAAAGGGGAAGGGAAAGGGGAAGGGGAAAGGGAAAGGGGAAAGGGGAAGGGAAAGGGGAAAGGAAAGGGAAAGGGAAAGGGGAGGGGGAAAGGGGAAGGGGAAGGGAAAGGGGAAGGGAAAGGGGAGAGGGAAAGGGAAAGGGGAAAGGGGAAGGGGAAAGGGGAAGGGGAAAGGGGAAGGGGAAGGGGAAAGGGGAAGGGGAAGGGAAGTTTCCCACTGGCTGCAGAAACTGAGGCAGGGCTGGGTGTGAAAACCCAAGCTCGGGCTCTGTCGGAGCCGCTGCAGCTCCCGTTTGCTCCCCCCGCTCCCCAAGCCCCCCCTGGACACCCAACCCGCGGTGCCACCACCTCGAGCCGCCGGTGAGACCCAGCCCCAGGCAGCGTCGGCGCTGACAGCGAGAGGCGCCTTCATGCACAGAGCCCTGCTCAGCCCCCGCAGGGAAGCATCACCCGGGCTGGCTCCGCGGTGCGCAGGGTAAGCGGTGCCCCGCGGTACGGGCAGGCTCTGGGCACGTCCCAGCCTGAACACGTCTTTAACAGCCGATGGATAACCCCGTGGTGACAGGAACCCGTGTCCCAGCAATGGCCAGCAACGAGGCTGTGCAGTGGGAATGCTCCCTAATGGGCACTGGGGATGCTGCAGGGTGGCCCCCGGCCAAGGGATGCTGCAGGAGGGGGCTTGCAGCAGAAGAGCATCAGGAGGGCACAGAGCCCGGGGGTACCAACGCTCATCAGAAACTAAACCCAAGCAGAAAGACCCCGGTTGGAGGGGGGAGAGTGCTCTCATTTCACACCCCGGGATGAATGAAGCACCAGGAGCCAGCAACCAGCATCAGCGATGGCAGGAAAACAAGACACAAAGGGTTTTTATCCTCAGCCTTAATCATCTTAAGGTGTTATTAGCACCAGAGGGAAGGAATTAAAGATATGAGTTCCAGGATGACAGCGTGTTCCTGGCACCAGGCGCTCAAGCTGTGACAATCTGAAGAAGGGAGATTGAAAGGAAGAAGGGGAATAAAGCCCTAACCAACCCAACCCAACTGCTGAGGGGGCTGGGAAAGCTCCCTGGGAACCAGGATCCTGCATGGCCAAGGGGGAAACGCAATGAACCCAATGCCATGGGCACCCTCCATAGGAAAATGAGGGTTAGAAGGGTTTGGTGGTAAAAGGGAAACAACCAGGAGCAGAAACACGTCCCAAAGACTGGGGGTCTTTGCCTCTAAATGCCCTGATTTAGGTCACGTCCCCAGTTTCCCCCATTGACATCTTAGATCTGGGTCCAGGCAGGGCCCTGTGTTGGGTCTGGGTGCTGTTTGGGATGCTGCTCCCATGCTTTTATACTGGATACTTGGGTGCCATGGTTTAGTGTGAGGTGTCCCTGCCCATGGCAGAGGGGATGGAACTGGATTATCTTAAAGTCCTTTCCAACCCAATCTATTCTATGATACAACCCAGCATTAAACTGTGAGAGCAGTGCAGCAGGACAAGAGGGTCCCACATCCATGGGGTCTGAATAACCCCATTCCCTCCCTCCTCTTCTTTTCCCTGGACACAGGGGTACGGATCCAGGGCAGGAGGATGCCATCAACCTGCTTCCAGGCTGGGAATCTCCTTTTCCCACTCCCCATTCCCTCTCCCTGCTGTGGAGCTGAGGCTCGGGATCGCTCAGTGCGGGGCTGGGATGTTCCCAGAGTTCAAACCCATTATTTTTATTAATAGAATCCCCAAGGTTATGTAAGCCCTTTGGAAAAAAAATAATAAATATATAAAAGGAAAACAAAATGAGCCAAATCCCAACGTTTCCACCCCGTTCTGCGCCTCGCCAAGGGATTAATTCAGCACTGGAGCAGTGGTGCTGGACACAGCCTTGAGGCCCATGGGTGATGCAGGGCAAGGGGATAACGACCCCGGTGGGGACAGGGGGTGACGCAGGGGCCACCTCCATCCAATCCATGGCTGCCGACACCTCCGGTTTTGAGGTTCCTGTTCCCAATGGGAATGCCGGTAGAGAGCGAGCCGAGGGCTGCTCCGCTGCCAGGCTCGGAGTTAAGCTCCCAATCCCTGCAATAAGCCTGGCATTAAAATAAACCCAAACATTTCCCTAATCCCCCCCCATCACGAAGGCTTCTCCCTGGCTCCATCCTCCCTCCCAATCCCCTCCTGCCGCCTCCGCGGGCAGATGCTCCTAAAACTTGACACTAAATCCCAACGCATCCAACGGCAGCGGGGCCGGGATGGGGGTAAAGCAGAGCCACAACCAATGCCACAGGTCACCAAAAAGCAGATTTGGCCTCAAAATCTCCCTCCGGTTGAGGGATGGGGGGCTCACACCTGGAAAAGGCTTTGGCACGGGGTAGATTCCATCATCCTGGCAGGGATTTGAACCCCAGCATCTCCCAAGGGAGCGTTTTCCCTCCTGCCCTGCTCCAGGATCCCGTGCTTTGGGTCATCATCCCCCCTCCTCATCCCAACCCTCCGCAAGGAGAATACATGGAACAAGGTGAGCTTTAAGGTCCCTTCCAACCCATGGAGCTCAGGCTGCACCCCCAGCAATGCCTGACAAATGGAAACACCTCCTTTTTCCTCTTTTTTCCCCAAATCTTGCACCTTTGCAGCCGTTCTCCCGAGTTGGGACTGAACTGATTGTGATGCTTCCCCCCAGTGCGGTGACAGATCTTGGCTGGGGACACCGTTATCAATCATCATCAACCAAGGAGCTTCCCCATACACCCAGTAACACTTGCTATCACGGTGCAGGATGGATTAGCCCCATTCCCAGCAGGAATCACCTTCTGGTGCTGGACTGGGGGGGGTTCTCACAGCAGGTTTTAACTGGGTGCATCTTCCCTTTGCTGCAGCACAGAAAACCCCTCTGCTGTAACCCAAAGGTGATGGATCCTCACTCTGAACATCCCCTGTTTCATTCCAAACCTTGGTTTATCCCAAGGGAAGGTCGGGATGGGGAAGGTGCTAACACACCATCACCCCCACTGAGCACTTGGTGATGGAGGCATCACCTCCACACCGGGCCAAGCTGTGGAGAAGCATCTTGGATCCCCATCTTCAGGTCACACATCCCAGAGCGGAGCCAACGCTGTCTCCTGGAATGGGATCCAGGGCAGCAGGATACAGGGAAAGACAGCGCTGATTTGGGGACACGGAGGGGTCTGCCCCTTTGGTTTGCACCCTGTGTTTGACGGGGTGAGATGGTCCCGATGGGGATGCAGCTCCGTTCACCTTGACTTCCCCAAGGTCCTCGCTGCTCCCAGCACAGGGCCATGTGCCAAGCTCCTCCCCAGCCTCCGGCACATGGGAACATGCAGCTGGTTGGCTCCGCTCATCCGACCCATCCCTAGTGCTGGTCACCCAGGCAGCTTGGATGCATCCTACAGAGTCACAGCCCTGGAGCAAGGGATCATCATCCCAGCTGCTCCTGATGGGCCCATTGTTTAAGGAGACAATGGAAACGCCACAGATCTTGTGTTTCTCCCCCCCTCGGGCTGATGCCGAAACCAGGCCATCTGCATTGCTCAACGCGTCCTGATAGGAACCACATGGAAATCATTAATAAATCCAAATTCAAGATATTGCAGCATCTAAAATTAAATGGAGGGAGGGTTGCGAACGGCTCGGAGGAGGAGGGGGAGGAGTGGGAAGCTCCGGAGGGATTCCCTGGGAGAATTCCTGTCCCCGGGAAGGCAGCGGTGCAGGGTGCAGCGCACCCAGGGATGGAGGCTGCAGCGCACCCAGGGATGGAGGCTGCAGCGCACCCAGGGATGGAGGCTGCAGCGCACCCAGGGATGGAGGCTGCAGCGCACCCAGGGATGGAGGCTGCAGCGCACCCGGGGATGGAGGCTGCAGCGCACCCGGGGATGGAGGCTGCAGCGCACCCGGGGATGGAGGCTGCAGCGCACCCGGGGATGGAGGCTGCAGCGCACCCGGGGATGGAGGCTGCAGCGCACCCGGGGATGGAGGCTGCAGCGCACCCGGGGATGGAGGCTGCAGCGCACCCGGGGATGGAGGCTGCAGCGCACCCAGGGATGGAGGCTGCAGCGCACCCAGGGATGGAGGCTGCAGCGCACCCAGGGATGGAGGCTGCAGGCGAGCACCTTGCAAACCCTCAACAGGGCAAGGAAGGCAAATCCGCAGGTTGGGATTTCCAGGGAATGAGGACCAAGCTCTGCCTGGATTTGGCACCTTCCCTGCTGCTCCTTTGGGGAGATCCCTGCCAAAGGAGGAGCAGGAGGGATTCAGGGGGGGCAGCCAAGGCCTGTCCCGAGCCATCCGATGGGTACAAGCACACCTAAACCCACCTCATCCCACCCCAGGGACCCGCATCCCGCTCTCCCTGCGCACAAGGAAGGTCCCAGCTGGGATTACTTTTGCCTGGAGCGTTTTAAACCTCCATCATCTCCCGTTTATTCCCACCTACAGGAATCAGAACCCTGCCGGCAGAGCGATGGGAGCCGTGGGCGCTCCCCCCATTAAGCTGAGCCCCTTGTGCCAAAAGGCCGGCCCCATCCCAAACTGCAGGAGCTGCTGGGATGATTTCCACCCACTCCTCCTCTCCTGTCTGCCCACATCAAACCCTGTGTGGGGATCAGCGGTACAGCCCCCTCCTCATCCCAACCCGCTACGAGGAGACTCCATGGAACAAGGTGGGCTTTAAGGTCCCTTCCATTCCATGAGCCCATTCCATGATCCTAGGACTTGGGAACTGCCCAAAGCACCGGGGTTTGGTTGGAGCAGCCGTGTTCTGGCCGTGCAAGGGTGCGTGAGCCCATACATGAGTGTGTGCACCCACCCGTGAGCACGCGTGTCAGTGCGTGTGCACGGCTGTGTCGGTGTGTGCTGGGTGCCCATGGGTGCTCTGGGTCCATGGGTTTCCAGTGCCTGTGTGTGCTCCATATCCATGGATGCCCCATGCCCATCTGTACCCTGGATCTGTGCGTTCCCAGTGCCTGTGGGTGCCCTGCTTCCATGAGTGTCCCATGCCCGTGGGCACCCCATGCTCCGTGCCCCATGCCCACGGCTGCCCGGATTTGCACACTCCCGATGCCCGCGGGTGCCCCATGCCCATGGATGCCCCATATCCATGGGTGCTCCGTGCCTGTGGGTGCCCCATGCCCATGGAGGCTCCGTGCCCGCGAGTGCTCCATGTCCATGGGTACCCCATGTCCGTGGGTGCTCCGTGCCCCTGGGTGCCCCATGCCCACGGCTGCCCGGATCCGCACACTCCCGGTGCCCGCGGGTGCCCCATGCCCATGGATGCCCCATATCCATGGGTGCCCCGTGCCCGCGGGTGCCCCATGCCCATGGATGCTCCGTGCCCATGGATGCCCCGTGCCCGTGGGTGCCCCGTGTCCATGGGCGCGCTGTGCCCGTGGGTACCGCGGTTCCGATGCCCGCGGGTGCCCCGTGAGCTCCCTGCCCCCGGGGCCGATGCGAGTGTGTCCGGACGCCGCCGCGTCCGCCTGGACCCCCCCCCCCGCTCCGCCTCCCGCTCCCCCCCCCCCCCCGCCCCGCACTCACCGGGGGCCTCCGAGCCGAGCGCCTCCGGCCGGGGCCGGGGCCGGTCCCCGGGGGGCAGCGGGCGCTGGGCTCCGCCGCGGCCGGGGCCATGGAGCGGGGGGAGGCAGCGGGGGGGCACGCGCGGCTCCTCCCGCCCTCCCCGTTCGCCGCCGCCGCCGCCGGGTTCCGCCCGGCCCCGGGTCCCCGCCCCGCCCGGCCCCGGCCGCGATCCCGCGGGGGGCGGAGCTTGGGGGGGGGCGGGGGGGCACGGACCGGGACCCCCCCGGCGGGGCCGCGGCCGTGGGAAAGTTGGGGCAGCCCCCGCGGAGCGCGCTCGAACGCGTCCCGGAGGAGGCTGCTCCGGGCAGCACAAAGCGGAGCAGGGGCTGCGGGAGGAGCCGGCGCTGAGCTCGCCAAAGGGACACGGAAAGAGCCCTCCGTGAGCCCCAACCCTGCCCACACCAGCACCGCTTCATCCCCATCACCTCATCCCCATCGCTTCATCCCCATGGCTTCATCCCCACATCCCCATCACTTCATCCCCATCCCTGCGTCCCCATCCCTGCGTCCCCACATCCCCATCACTTCATCCCCATCCCCATCACTTCATCCCCATCCCCATCCCTGTGTCCCCATCCCCTCATCCCCACCGAGCAGCCAGCAGCATCCATGGCTGTAACCACCACGGGCACACCGTGGTGCACTGAAACAACCGATCCCAGCTCTCACAAACACAACCCTTGCCCCAACACCCCAACCCCACACACTGCTGAGGAGATTCAACCTCTTTACACCCGGAGCCGCTGATGTTCTGCAGGCAGAGGCTGATTATCAGCCTTTAACTAATAACACACCATGCTCACATTCCCCCTTCCCCATGACTGGAGTAGATCTCAGCATCAAACCAAACCCATGCTCCCCCCACGGAGCCACAAGACACAACCGTGCCATGCCCAGCATCACTTAGCCACCAGCACCCCATGGTCCTAAAGCAGATGCAGAGTCCAGGCAGGAGGCTCTGTGGCAGAGTGCGGCCCAGGAAAGGGGTTCAGGGGTAAAGCTCAGCAATGGGGTGCGGGATGAGCCCAGACCCTCACCTGGCTCTGGCAGAGGAGCATCATCCGGTGAGTCGAGGATGGGAGGAATAAAATCCCCACTTCTGGGTGATGCTGTGGAGATGCTGCCCTGGGTCCTCCTTCCCTGCCCTCTGCCGGGCTGTTAAAGGGGGGTCTGGGGAACTTTGGGGCTGCTGCTCAGAAGAGAAGGCTCCTGAAGGGGAGACCTCAGAGCAGCTCCAGTGCCTAAAGGGGCTGCAGGAAACCTGGAGAGGGGCTTGGGACAAGGGATGTAGGGACAGGCCAAGGGGAATGGCTTGAACCTGCCCGAGGGGAGACTGAGCTGAGCTCTTAGGCAGAAGCTCTTCCCTGTGAGGGTGCTGAGGCGCTGGCACAGGGTGCCCAGAGAAGCTGTGGCTGCCCCATCCCTGGCAGTGCTCAAGGCCAGGTTGGACACAGGGGCTTGGAGCAAGCTGCTCCAGTGGAAGGGGTCCCTGCCTGTGGCAGGGGTTGGAGCTGGAGGAGCTTTAAGGTCCCTTCCAACCCAAACCATTCCGGGATCCTGTGATTCCATGATTCTGGAGTTCTGGGGAAGGGTGAGGGGTCACAGCTGCATGCCCAAGGTGCCAGCTCCACCTCTGCACTGGAGCGATGCCTCCCTCACCCTGGCCACCCAGGCTGAACAAACCCAGCTGATCGGGGAGTGCTGGTATTTGCCTTTGGCTTCTCACAGTGCTCAGTGCCTCGTTCCGCTCTCCCCTTGCTGCCGCCGGAGGCCACCTGGGCACTCCACAGCCACAAGGCATCAATGCTTTTGAGCAAAATCCGATTCCTATCCAGCGGCTGTACCTGTGCCAGGCGGAGCCGGCCAAGGAGCCGCAGGGGGAGCAGCGGGATGTCCGCAGCAAGGGCCGGTGCTGCCGGCAGCAGGAGCTGGCAGAGGCACTCGGGTACTGCCCACCCCTGCACAGGAGCCTGCTCTGAAGCACTTTTCCAGGCCCAGGTCTCCCCATGGGGCCACCATGAACGTGTTGGAAGGTGATGGGAGCGGGCGCAGGGATGAGGGCAGCTGCCTGCAGGGGTTGAAGCTGGACCACAAGGTACCGTGGAGAAGGAAGAGCGCAGCCTGGCTCTTTCCCTTTTCCCTTCAGTGCCCAGCTCATGGAAGGGAGATGGATGCTGCTGTTGCCCACGTCCTTGCAGGCTGTGGGGCCACAGAGAGAGAAGGACCCACCTGGGACAAAAGTGGTGGCAGGGAGAGAAAGGAAAGGCCCCATGGGGCGCCTCTGGAGCAGAACCCATGGCAGGATGGGAGATGTGCAGGACCAAAAGGCTCTGGGTGTGCAGCCCCTACAGACACGTCTTGGATGGGGAGGAAGGGCAGCGAACTGCAGCAAAGCAGGGACACGGCTGCCTTCAGAGAGAGACAAACCCGACCTCATGGCAGCTGGGAACTCCTCCCGGCTCTGGGAGAGGAAAGGGACCCGAATCCGCCTCGCTTCAAGCTCTGGTTCATCCCGGGGGAGCCCCCTCTGCTCCGGCCGCCTCGGCCGAGCCCGGGCAGGAGGAACCGTGGGGCTGGAGGCAGGAGGAGCAGAGAGGGAGCGCTCCCAGCCAGGCTCTGAGATCAGGGGGAAGGAATGTTCCGAGGCTGCTCTGGAGCGGCCGGGCCGGGATGACTCACAGCGGAGAGCACGCAGCCGCTGGAGCGGGGCTTGGCACCGGAGGCGATGGGCAGGGGATCGCTGCTGCTGCCGAAGGGGGTCGCAGCCCGGAGAGGCAACGTGGGCACCGCAGGGCTCGGATGTGAGGGTTCTTGGAGCAGGGCCCCTCCTGGGATGCGTGTCCTTAGAGCAGGGGCTTGGGAAAGGGGATGTGGAGCAGAGGGGATGGGGCTGGATGGGGCTGCAGCTCTGAAGTCCCAGCTGTGAAGCAGACGCCCCTTCCCCTTCCTAGCAATGGGGAAACTGAGGCACGGAGCCAGGATGTGATGTATTCATAGAATCATAGAATAGTTCGGGTTGGAAAGGACCTTAAGATCATCCAGTTCCAACCCCCCTGCCATGGGCAGGGACACCTTGCTCTAAACCAGGTCACCCAAGGCCTCGTCCAACCTGGCCTTGAACACTGCCAGGGATGGAGCATTCACAACCTCCCTGGGCACCCATTCCAGTGCCTCACCACCCTCACAGGAAAGAATTCCCTCCTTATATCCAATCTAAACTTCCCCTGTTTCAGTTTGAACCCATCACTCCTTGTCCTGTCACTACCAAGGTGGCTGTGGAGGTTAAAACAGGCCTTGTGATGGCTCTTGCTCGCTGCTGCATCCCTGGCCTGTGGTTGCACACTCCCTGTGCTGGGAAGAGGCACAGTTTTGTGGCTGGGAGCAATCCCTGGCTGAGGACTCACCCCCATCCCCTCCCAGGCAGCTGATGCTTGTGGGGCACAGGGATCCATCCAACCTCCATCCCATGGGAGATGCTGCAGCAGCTTCCCCAGCATCCCCAAAGGCTGCTGCAGAGAGAAGGTGGAAAACCATTCCCCCCATCCACCAAAGCCAAGGAAGATCTGGGCAATGCATTAGGAGCAGGAGAATGAGCCAGCATCTTCCCAAAGCCCCTTTCAGAGATGGGGCGGGGGGGGGGGGTTTGATGTCATGCCTGGAAGTAACCACAGCACCAGATTCGCATCCCTGTGGGATGTAAAGCTCCATGGGCTGCTCTGGAGTGGCCCTGTTCCAGTGGTTAAGTGTAAATATAACCAGGCTTGTCCCTAATCACGTTGTGCAAACGTGGAGTCATCTTTAGATCCTTGGAAAAGCGATTATCTCCAGCTCTGCAATAAGAGCTTGGAAAAGCCTGAAGGCTTGAGGAGTTCTGGAAATGTCAGCTGTCCCCACATAGAAAACCTGGATGTTTTCACAGATCAGTGTGAATTAACCCCACCTACAACACGAGGGAGTTCAAATGCATTTCCAAAGCTCCCAGTTAAATCCCACTTCTCTTGCCTGTGATTTATGATGCTCTTCTGCCACCTTCTCCTGTCCTGCACACATCAAACTGCCCCAGTGATGCTCATTACTCCCTCCCCAGTGGTACCTGTGCAGGAGGCAAGGTGGGATCTGATTTATGGGATCTCTCCTCCAGTGCCATGGAAAGCGATCCCTCCTCACCTGCCCAGGCTCACACACCGCAGGGCTCTGTGTAAAGGGTGATCCCTTCCTCACAAACACCCAAAAAGGAACATTTTCCATTGCAGGGAACACGAACTTGAGGCCAAAACGCAGCTCTGTGACGCTTTGTGTGACTGAGAGTCCATAGCAACACCTCCATGCTGGACAAAAGACCTTGGGAACATCCCACTGCAGGCAGCATCCGCATTCCTGATGATCCTGGCTCTCCAGCAGCCTCCTGGGGAGGCAGGAGGAGGAAGGAGCAAGATGCTGTAGAACCAAGCCCAGCACAAGCCAGAAGCCACTTGCCCATTGCAATTCCAGCTCCAAGGAGGCATTAGCACGAGCTGGGTTTAGTTGCACCCAGTATATATTGCATGCTGTGAAAGGAACAGAGAGCAGGAGGGAAGGTGCCTGTTCCCATCACTTACATACCCCCCACCTTGGTGGAGGCCTAATTGTAAGCCACCAGAAGCGTTTCTTCTCTGGCATCACTTCATCCTCTTGGTCACACAAGGGATGAAGATCCGGTTCCCGATGGGAAGAGGGGCCCATCCGGGAAGGATCACCCCAAACTGCATCAGCGGGCTCATCCTTTGAGCTATCCCCCACCTTCCAGAAGGGTTCCTGCAGCAGAACGATCTGGCTTGTCATTTCAGCTCTATTCCAAACGACAAAGCATTAGCGCTCGCTAATGCAGAGGTAACGCGGGTAGAAGCTGGAGGGAAGAGCCTCGGGATGGGATATTTCGCACAAATGGAATATTCCGAGATTGCCTTTTCATTTCGAAATGAGCCATAACAATTCCAGCTCCACGGAGCGCTTGGGGAGAGGGAATTGGTGTTTTCGAGCCTCTCTTGCTGTGCTGGAGCGGGTACAGAGGTTGGGCTCTTGCAGGTGAGAGCTGAGGGAGCTTGGTGATGTCTCACCCCACAGGAGAAACCCCGGGGGAATCCAATGAAGGACCAAGTGCAAGCATACACCAAAGGAAATGGGGTTTCAGACCCTGCTGAACCCATCGCTGCAGGAGCTCAAGAACGAGCTCAAAAGGGGAGAACTCAAACTGAGAAGTGCCTCATTGCCAGTAAGGGATGTGAGCCATAGGACGGTGGCTGCAGCCACAGAATCCCTCCAGGCATCAGCGCTCCGAAGGGATGGAGCACACTGGGAGAGCATTGTCCTCTGTGCGCCAGACCCCAGTCCCCAGTCCCCAACCCTTCCATGCTCCCCACCCCTTGCTTGGCCCCTCACTGGGATCCAGCATGGATGGGGCTGGAAGCAAGCTGCTCTAGTGGGAGGTGTCCAGTCCCATGGCAGGGACTGGAACTGGATGAGCTTTAAGGTCCCTTCAACCCAGACCACCCTGTGGTTCTATGGGCAGCTTGCTGTGCGGTGGCAGAGCGAGATGCAGTCTCCTGCTCACAGCCTGACAGAGGGACCCTCCGAGCGCAGGTGACACCAATAGGTTCTGGTGATGTCCCTCTGCTTGTTCCCACCATCCTGTGCCAAAGAGCCCCTTCCCAAACCGCTCTGATGCTCGTTTCACTGATGCCAAACCCCAGCATCTCTGTCACATGAGACACACCGCAGGACCCGGGCATCTGGGCACCAGAGGAACATGTCCCCTCATTGCTTCAGTCCACAGGCTGAGAACACACCCTCGGTCAGCACATTAAATGGGCCTCATTGGCAGTCAGAGAACTGAGCCCCGTGCTTCCCAAGTACTGTGAATAACCCCAAAGCAGAGATGTGCCCTTAGTGGTGTGTGCTGAGGGAAATGCTCTGGTTGTGCCTGAGCACCGGCTCCCCAAGCAGCCATGGGAAGGCTCCAGTTCTGCTATTAAGCCTCTAAAGGATTAGTAATCTTATAAAAGGAATCAAAGCATCACCCAATGCGGACCCACAGACTTGGCTGGTCTCTTCAAGGTAGTTCCTGTAGCTCAGATAGGAGCAGGAGGAGCTGAGCAGCATCTCAGCTCTAACACATTTATCCGCTCCTTAACCCATCAGCTGCATCTCAGCATCTAACATCATCCCATTTACCCATGTCCCTGCTTCCAGTAACAACGCACAGTGCAGAGGTCTTGGGATGGGGGAGGACTCGAGCAAGATCCCTTGGAAAAGCCCAACCTGGAGCTCAGGCACCAAGCCTTCTTGATTCGGGATATTCAGCTTCATCCCTGGATCCCAGCTCATCCTCTGCAGTCCTTCCCTCAGCAGATTCGGATCCCCCACCCACATGGCTTCACACCGCCAGCAAAGAGCATCTCTCACTTCCCAGGCCTTGGGAAGGTGCAGGACGCTCCCACACATTCCAATGTGATGCTCCTGGGGGGCTCAGCCAGGGATTCCAGCCCTACGGTACCAGAACCCCCCTGTAGCCGCCCAGATCCTCCCTACCCTGCTCCCCAGTAACACCAGTCTGGCACTGGGGCACCCTGGTCGTGCTTAAAGGTGATAGTGGTAAAATTAAACAGAGGTGGGGTGGAGGTGCAGGGCCAGAGCAGGGCGATGGGTTTGAAGCTAAGAGGGAACCAAAGGAAGAAGCATCCCTCAACAGCATCTTCTGGGCATCCTTTTGGTCCCTCTGAGCAGCTCAGACCTGGAGGTTTATCTCAGACACTTGGTTTTCCCTCCCCTGAGGACCCCCTGGCTGCTCAGTGAGATGCGATGTGGTGGCCTCATGGGGCTCACATAGTGCTGGGATTCACCTAAAGGCCACATTTCCACCCAAAACAAGGCAGAGCAGAGCTGCTTTGCCATATGGCACGGCCAGCGAGCAGCTGGGAGGAAGGCAGACCAGCTCTGCGCAGATCCATCTCTGCAGCATCTTCTCTTGAGTGAGAAGATCAAGAGGAGGAAGGAACAGAGAGGGGACGTTTCCTGGCATCCTTCTCCTTCCCTGTTGGAAAGGTCGGATGCTGAGGATGGAAACCCAGCACACCAGCTCTGTTTAGGAAATCTTTTGGGCTCCAGCATCTCTCTGTGCTTGACCTTCCCAGTAAAGGCTGGGCAGGGATGGGAATGAGCTCCACAGATGGAGGAGAGCAATGAGAGCTATTAATGCTAATGGGTGGGAAGTGGCCATGAATAAATCAGCAGCATCTTTCCAGCCATCAAAGCCTGAAACCCTCCAGTACAGGGCGAGAGGCAGAGGGGATGTCAGGATGATGTGTTTGGTGTATGACAGGGGCTGCTGGATGCTCTTACCTACAAACCCAAGAGACTTGGGCCTGTGGACCCCCACCCTGCTGCCATGGGGTGGGATTGTGGATCTCACCCCCTGCCCCATGCAGAAACCCCTTCCCAAAGCCACCCCTGAACATCAGTGAGTGAAGCTTTTGATTCCCAACACCTCCAGGCTGGATCTGTGCAGGGGTCTCATGCTTGTCCTGCCCTGTTGATGCCGCAGATGGGAGAGAAGATGCGGGGAGGCATCACTAGTTCAAACCTCCCTTTAACCAGACACATCCTTCTACCTCCAACCATCCAGCCTGGCCTCGGTAATCCCAAATCCTAGGTATTAGGCATTTAATCTTGCATTTTATCATGTCTCCTTTTACCAGGGGGGTCTGAAATTAAAAGGGAAGCCGGGAAGAGCTGAGCTGCTGCGGGTGTAATTGGTTCTGGCTGGTGGGGAAGGAGGAAGGAGGAAAAGGCAGCAGCTTTCCTCGGCGTTTCCCAAGGATCTGTGGCTATTCCGGAAGAGGGGAAGAGACGCAGCATCATGGGAGAGAGGGAGGGGAGAACATTCCCCATCCCTGGACAGGGGAGGAACTGGTGTGCGAGCCCCAGCCGGGCAGGATGGAGCCGGGCGGCCCCATGGAGCTGAGCCAGCCGCCTGCCGGGAGCATTTTCCATGATGCAAACCCAGGGAAGGGGGAGAGGGGCCGAGGCGGGACATGGGGCTGGTGCCTTTGATGTCCCCTCCTGCCTCGTAGGAGAGCTGGAGGCATCTCCCTGGCCTGGGATGGGGCTGGTCCTGGTTGGGCTGAGCACTGGAAGCAGCAGCAGGATGAACCGGGGATGGAGGCAGGAGCAATGAGGGAGGGATCTCCATTTCCAAGCACTTGTTACGGCTCCCAGTGGTACCCAGTGCAGGGCCCAGCATCCACTGATACCTTATGGATTCTGGGATATAAAAATCCCAGTTTCTATTCCCTCCCCCCCAGCCTGCTACACATCCCCTGGACATCCCCATGTTTTACTCCATACAGAAGTCCCAATACAGGATACTTCACCACTAATGCCACCTTGCATCCTACTGCTGCTAGCAGAAATGGAGCTGCCCTGGCTAACAAAGACACTTGTTGAATTATTATTAGCAGAATGAAGAGCTTTTAATTGCATTTCCTCATCCCCCAGATACAACCAGGGACTGCACTTTGACCTCAGTTGAAATATGGGTTAGCAACAGGTATATACCTTCAACAAACTGGTTTCCAGCTAAAAATCAGCTCCACAGATGATGGGAAGCAAGAAAAAAACCCAGATGGTGAGGTTTGAACCCCGCTTTTCTGTATTTACCAGGAAAAAGGGGGAAGCGGGAGCTGCAGCTTCCTGACCAAAGGGAATCACTCTGCGGGATGCTGCTGCGAGGTGAGGCTGGGATGAACTGCACGCACTTAAGGAATGATGCAACCTGCCAGGCACTTAATGCAGCCCAGATGAATGGAGCCGAGAGCTGGAGCTTACCCAGGTAACGCTGCCAGAGCGAGAGGGCTCCGGGGACAGGCGATGAGCTCTGGTTAAAGTAGGACACTTTGGGAGCCGATGCTGCGAGTTCCTGCCCTGCGGGGTGCGCAGAGGCCAGCGATCAGATGGGGAGGTGGGACCTTGCTCCTCGTGGTGATGCTCGGCAGCATCCCATCACGCTCGCAGGACCGGGCTGTGCCGCCACGTCCTCGCTGCTTGAGCCCTCTTCGGGTCCGAGGGCGCTGCTGGTGATACGTGGGTGATAAATCAGCCAGAAATACACAGATTTAGGCCACTCAAGTGGCAAATCCCCCCCCCCGAACACACACCCAGCAGTGAACCCGCTCCCCCCCGGCTGTGTGCCTGCTAAAGACTGCAATGAAGATTAAAGTCAGTTTTTGCAGCAAGTGCTTTTTCACCTTAGAAACAAGAAGGGGGGAAAAGAGTGTGATGGGTGAACCCTGCTCTCTTACATCTTCCTTACAGCACGTTCCCCCTGCTCCACCTCTCCTCTGTGCCAGCATCAGCCTCTTCCATGCCCCTGGTACCCCCACCAGAAGCCTCCTGCCAGGCCAAGGGTTGGGTGCAAACGTGCAACCTAAGTACATCAGAAGTCACCCTGGTCCCCTGCCCCACGCAGGGAGATGGGGAACCCCCCCATCAGGATGGTTTCATGTCACAACACTGGCTACACACCCAACACATGAACGACCCCAAAGCAGCCCCTCTGCCAGCACCCAGGCTGGCACCCAGCAAGGAAAAGGTGCCCACAAATAACACTTTGCAGCTTAAACCCCTTGGAGAATGGGGCTCTGCCCGCTCCCAGCCGAGCATCCTCAGCACATTGCTCCATATGGCAACCATTACCGCTTGCAGCGCTGGAATCGCTTGCTCCATGCTCACACACACACATTCCCTTCCCTGCCAGCCTCCTGCCCCTCCTTGCTCATAATCAACCCCACATGGTAAGGAGCAGCCGTGCAAACCCAACCTGCCCCCCCTGCGGAGCGCTCGGCTTCCCACACAACTGAGCTCTGGATCCTGCTCCATCGCGTGCTTTGGATCCTGGGGAGAAACACCCACAAGGGCTCCTTGCATCCTCAGGACAAGAGACAAGGAGCTGCGGGAGATGGTCCAGTGGAGGCCACAAGGATGCTCAGGGGTCTGGGGCATCTCTCTCATGAGCAGAGATTGCAGGAGCTGGGCCTGGTTGGTCAGAGAAGAGCAGCCTGAGAGGGGATCCCATCAATGCAGATCAATAGCTCAAAGGTGGTGCCAGGAGGATGGGGCCAGACTCTCTCCAGTGGTGCCCAGTGACAGGACAAGGAGCAATGGCCATGAACTAACACACAGCAAGTTTCACCTCAACATGAGGAAGAGCTTCTTTATACTGAGGGTGGCAGAGCCCCGGGAAAGGATGCTCAGGGGGTTGTGGAGTCTCTCTGGAGACATTCACACCCCACCATGGTTCCTGTGTGCCCTGCTCCGGGTGGCCCTGCCATGGCAGGGGTTGGACACGATGATCTCCAGAGCTCCCTTCCAACCCTGCTGGTTCTGGGACTCTCTGAAAGCTGCTTCCCCATTCCCTGGGAGCAGCTCCGCTGGCTCGGGGCAGGTTTGGATGCGGGCAGGCACCATGAGCGAGGCACAATGACAACAGCCCTCCCTGCAGCGAGGCTCTGCTCCGTGTGCTGGACCTCTGAGCTCCAAAGCCCTTGGCTGCAGCTCCTTGGCTCCGGGTGAGCTTCCCTTGATCCTCCCCAAGGATATAAAGGACTCGGCTGCTGGGGCTGATGGCACGGGGCGGAGGTGAGGAGGTTGATGCACGGCAAGGGATTCAGGAGGTGAAACAGCACCGGTTCCTGGGCTGTAGTGAGGGGTTTTGCCTAGGAAACATCCAGCCTTGTACAACCCATCCCAGTCCAGTATAGAGACAGATCCATAACACTGGTGGCTCACTGCAGCCCAGCATGAAACCCAGGACGGTCACAGGCAGTCAGTGCAAAGGCAATGACAACCATAGGGAATGCTGGCTATAATCCATGGATTAAGCTATGCTGACCTCAGAAAGAATGACATTTGATGGCCACTAAGGACTGAGCAAGCGAGGAGACACCAGGAAACAGAACCAGGATGGAGGGAGTGGGAACAACCAAAAACCAAGGGATTTTGGGGGGGAGCACAAGGCATAACTTTCCTTCAGGGAACCTGGCACTGTTTCCCCCAGCGAGTTTCCAGTTACAGACTGGCTAATGGAAAACCCTGGCATAACTGTGTCCATGTTGTAATGTTATGGAAAACACCGTAATGAGATTAAGGCTCCTCCAGCGAGCACAGCCTGCTCCATGTCCCCTCCAGCATCTCCTGCTCCCCATAAAGGGCTTGGGAACCTTCCCAGTGCCCCAAACACCATCACGTTGTGGGTTTCTCCCACTGTAGTCACGAGCTGGAGGGAGTCAGTGAAGGTCTCGAGGGGTGGGGGCTCTGCAGGAGGCTCTCCAGCCCTCGGATCCTCTCCAGCTTCACAGTTTCCATCAGTGGGGTTTTTCCTGGACACATTTATGGCTCTTCCCGTGTCGCTTTCCATGCCCCATTGCATACTGCATGGGCTGCCGCTCCCCACGGAGCGATGGTCTGAGGGAAGGCTGATTCTCTGCAGGCTTTTCTAGAGCTGCCCAATGGCACCTCTTCTCCTCTGCACATTCCCCATTGGTGTTTGCAGGTGTATTGGGGTGTGATCATCAGCTGAAACCTGCCAAGAAGCCAGGCTTGGTTCTCAGAGCATCACTCTGGGCTGCAGTGGGAAACCAGGAGCAGCATCTCTCCTTTTCACACGGGCACATGTTGGAGGCTCAGCAGACCTGGGTGCTGGCACCCATGAGGGGTCTGAGCCATCCGACCCATTGATTCCTATCCTCCTTGCCATGGGGTATTTGGCTGGAGGTCCTGACCCAGACATAGACAGCGAGGAGCTAAAACCAGGGTAAAAAAGGGCAAAAACCCAAGGAGAAGAGGAGATGTAGAGGTCCAAAGGGAAGGTGTGGAAGCTGCTGTGAGGCAGGAACTGTACAAAGCTCTGCTCCTTACAGAGGTGCTTGTAGAGATTGTTATCGTTAATTTATGTAGCCCTACACTTGCACTAGAGGAACTCAAGCACTAATTCATCAGCAAGCAAAGAACAGCCCTGGCTTGGCTCTCACCCAGGGGGATGCAGCTCTGGGAAGGAACAATCCTGTATTGAGAGGGAACTTGGCTATGGGAGCGCTGCTTTCCTCCGTGTGCTTCGTCTTCCTAGAAATGGTATGAAATCTGGGGTGATTTTCTGGGAGAAAGGGAAACAAATCAGTTCACAAACCCTGGGGCTCTCCCGAGGCAACAGGGCAAGCTCTTCTGGCACCCCAACACAACCCCTCCCAGTGATCCAGGGATCAACTGATGAGCACTGATTTTGGCTCCATGGGAAGTCAAAGTCTCCAAGCCATTGTGTCTAGATGAAAACCAAGGGATAAAAAGGAGATGCCATTTGGGAGAGTAATTCACTAACCCTGCTAATGGCACTGGAGCAATTACACAAGTGGCTGTAATAGGCAGGAGAACAATTAACACTCTGCCAAGGGCTCCAGTGGTGATTTTATGAGTCCTGCTGGAGCCGAGCTCCCAGAGGAATATCAGCATGGGGGTTATTTCCTCATCCTTTTGGGACTATTTCACACTCACACGCAGCTACTGAAGCTTTCCATCATGGATGTACACTGAGCTGAAGTGAGTTAGTGCATCCTCTTGCCCTGAAAGAGCTCCAAGGGACCTCACCTCCAGACCCACACCACTACCCTCCAGCCAGGGAAAGCAGCCGATGGTTTCCTCAAGTCAACCAGCACTTGCTGCACATGCAGAGCTTTCCGAGGTTACTCACACCCGCAGCCCGCGCAGGCCTAAGGGAAGAGGAGAAAATCCCTGCCATGTTATTGTAATAAAACATGCAGTAAATACCACTGAAAGCATTCCATACATCCTGCCTGTGGGGATTCACCACGCCTGACCTCAGGCATCTGAAAGCCAGCCGTCCTCTGGGCTCTCCCAGGAGCTAAGTCGGCGTTTCCACACATCCGATCCCAAAATAGCTGGGTAAGAAATAGGATTCATTCATTTCCACAGAGGCTGGTTTCTTCTCCCTTGTCCAGTGCAGGAGCAGAGCTGCCGCAGGAGGAGAGGTTCAGCTTTTGGAGGTGATGCCAGTGGAAAGGAATTGTACATTCAACATAGCCCTGGACCACACCAAGTCACACAAAACACATCCCATCTCCCTTGCGTGCCAGGGAGGAAGGGATGAAAGCAGACAGCACTCACGTGCAGCAGAAACAGGATCATTTGGAGTTCTTGTCCTTGCTTGCCCTCAAACTGAGCAGCTGATGCTCTGTGTTGCAGCTACCAGCACCCATCTGGATGATGCCTACCTTGAAACCAGGCAAGAGCAACACACAATGGTCCCTCATAGTCTGAAGCTCTTAGGCTTCTGCCCAAGAAGAGTACAATGAGAATAACAGAGGGTAAAAGCATCCATATCTCTGCCATAGCAGGTCATACCCCACGAGATCAACAGAGGACTTGGTTTTCTTCATCCCTTCCAGGCATTAATCAGTTTTAGTGCTAAACAAAGCTGCCTGCCTGAAGGGGAGGTCTCCTATTTTAAATCTTGTTGCAGAGGAAGCTGTAGATGATGTTAACCAGACATGTCCTCTTAAAGGGATGCCGTTGCTACTGCTCTGGCTGAAGATTCCGAAGGTCAGAAGATGCTCTGAGATTTCCCTTTACTGCATCCTACTCCTCTGTGAAGACACCACTACCGAAGTCCTCACATCCAGGACTTAAACACACATTCCCAGATGTTCCTATTGACAAAGCTCGTGCAGAAACATCACATCCACCTCACCACGGTGATGGAAAGCTCCTGAGGAGGAGGGGGGCTGTTGCACCTACCAGAAAGCTCCATTACCTCACCATCAAGACTGCAATATCCCAATGGCTTGGATACCTTTCCAAGTGTTGGTGAGTGCCAAAGCTCACGGTTGACCTCTTCTGAGTGTCCAGCTGGGGTGGATATTGGGTTTTGAGGAGTATTAGCATGTTATGCTTCTCCTTGTCATCTCCACAAGCTCTTAATGGCTACAAGAGGATAGGGTTCATTTTGATACAAGGCTTTACACTTGTACTAAGACGGAGTTCTTAGCAACATCAAGTTGAAAATACGGTGGCAAGATGCAATAGTGTTATCAATGACAACGCTCAGGGTGTTTAATGGAGTTTGGCTGTAAATAGAGGGAAACAAGCACTGGTTTTAGGGCAAGAGCAAAACTTCTGTGGCTTCAGTGTGGGGATAACTGCAACAGTAAAAGAAGATTCTGCTTCTTGCCCTGCTTACATCCAGTGCTCATGCACATTTTATAAGAGCAACTGCTTGGGTACATAAACAAAATGACTCACTCTGAAGCTGATAACACGGAACACAACCCTGGGTGGCTCCATCCCAGAACCGCTTGACTTGTTTGAAATGTAAATGATTTATCTCCTGCCTGGTTCAGGAGTTGTTCGGGGCAGTTTCCATCCAAATGGGACGCTCAACACAGGGTTTTGCAGTCTCCTGGGGAAGCAGGGAAGGTGGCAAGAACACATGGAAACCCTCTTGGCTGATGTGTGGAGAGGAGGGTGGGAAAGGTGCCTCCCTATCCCTTGGGAAAGCACTCCCAGAGCTGCCTTCCCTGGAGACTTGCTGCGAGGGCGCTGCAATGAGATGAGCAACACAACCACCAGCATCTCTCTCCCACTCACTCCAACTACATCTCGGATGCTCACTTCTCCTTCCATCCCAGCCTGGTGAGCATCACAGGAGCAGAGAGATCCCAGCAGCATCCAGAAGTCTTCCTCCTCTGAGCACTGTGATTCCCACTTGTTTTGGGTCACCCCATTCTGGCTCCTGCCCATTGCCTGGTCTCTCTTAAGCTCAATGAAATCAGTGCTTCTTGCTCCTACCTATTCTGGGCTTTCCAGCCACTGCAGCCCATGTGGGTTCATGCACATGTGTGTGGTGGTGGTTACAGATGGGAAGACAATTGATGGTGGGAGAGCAGCAAGAATTGATGTATAAGGAAGGAGCTTCACAGGGCAGCAGGGCTGAGGAGGCAGGACCAGAGAGAGGAAAAACAACCCAGGGAGAGAAATGGAGAAGGTGGCACCGAGCTCTGAAGGCTCATTAGGTTAATTCTTTCAGTGTGTTGTGCTCTGGCACAGCACAAGGAGGAGGGAAAAATCCATTTCATGGGGGGAAGAAAATCAAATAAATCATTTCAACTGTCGTGTTTCTTCTGAAATTAAGATGCTTCAAAGGTTTTTTTACAGAAACCAAAGAGCAAAACCTCCCCCAGCCATCGCCCAGCACCAGAGACATGCTTGGGAAAAGGGGAATTTATATTCCAGTCTCTTCTCTGGCCTCTTCCAATTGCATCCATAACAGAGATGAGTTCAAGATGGTGTGAAAACCATTTAGAGGGACTCACAGAAGAGCTGTGTGGTCCCACTTTGTAACTCAGACATACCACAGCTTCCCAGGGCTGCACTGACTGCCAGGGATAACAAAACCCAGAGCCACGGTCCCGGGTACCTGACTGGGAAAGCTTTGCTCCAGTTTTAGGAGCTGCTCTAAGGTCTCCCCTTCAGGAGCCTTCTCTTCCCCAGGCTGCCCCAGCCCAGCTCTCTCAGCCTGGCTCCAGAGCAGAGCTGCTCCAGCCCTCGCAGCAGCTCCGTGGCCTCCTCTGGCCTCGCTCCAGCAGCTCCATCTCATTTAACAAGGCCAGTTCCTATTCCAAAACCACCCAGCCAAGGCCAACACCCTCCCATCACCCCCAGCTCTCTGGAGGCTGCAGCATCCCTGATCCAGCACAGGGGCTCTGCTGGCTCCACCAAGGGAGGACACAAAGGAGGTGAGGATGGATGGTCACTTGTTTCATGGTGCAGATGTGCTGCATGGGCTGCAGGTGGGCAGGATGCTCCTCTTCCCCGTTGCTGGCTCTGCCCCCACCAGCCACATTTGAGTCTTTGGCCAGTGTTCACATCAGTGTTGATAAGAACAAAAGAAGCTGCTCAAAAGGGAGCTCAAAGCTCTTTGCAAGCAATAAAATCCTGTCAGCACCACCAGTCACACCTTCCCCAGTGGGAAAACAGCATGATTTCCTAGAATCATAGAATCCTGGCCTGGCTTGGGTTGGAAGGGACCTTAAAGCTCATCCAGCTCCAACCCCTGCCACAGGCAGGGACCCCTTCCACTGGAGCAGCTTGCTCCAAGCCCCTGTGTCCAACCTGGCCTTGAACACCCCTGGAAGTGCTCAGGTTGGACAGGGCCTAGAACAACCAAGGAATTTCATCCAAGAAAGGCACCAAGTGAAGGTTTGAGCTCTTACCTCGACACCGAGCTGGGGATCGCCGTCCTCGATGGGGTAAAGCTGCTAAAGGGGACAAGGAGGAAGCAGCAGAGGAGAATGAGGTCTCTTTTGGAGGTGGGGGTTAAGGGGCTCACCCTCCTCCTTCAAAGGAGTGTGTGCAAATGCAGCCCTTGAGTCACAGCTGCCAAAGCTCAGGGTAATTACAAGGTCTGATGAAGCTTTGCTCTGGTGGCTTGGGCTGCAGGCAGGCAGTGAGGGCAGACATGTGGCTGAAGGATGGTGCAAGGAACTAATATGTGTGGCACATCCCTTCCACCCGAAATCAGACCCCAAACCCCACCAGGGTGTCATGCAAGGGCCTTGGAATGAGGGAAACATCAGTCCCAAAGAGCACGGTCAGAGATGACCATGGCAATACCTCAGCATTCACACAGGCAAAAACCAAACTACAGGTTTTTCCTGCCCAAGGAGAACTCGGGACAAAATATTCCATGTCTGCCTGAGCTGAATAATCTGCAAATATAATCAGGCATTTGGGTGATGAATGGACCCTGCTCTGTTGTCCAAATCTTGTCTCAAAACCAATCCTCTCCACAGTGAGATTCAGCATCACAAGTGCAAAGATGCAGCCAAGCATGAATCCCAGGGGAGCTAACAGAGCAAGGAAAAAGTGGAACTGGATGTTACTGAGTGTGCAACAAGCATCCCAGCTCAGCAGACTGGGGATCCGCTCACGGGAACGAAAGCAAACAAGCTGAGGTTTAAATAGCAGCAAAAAGAACCTTGGAAGGGAAAAAGCAATGAGAGCAAGTGTTTACCCTGGTGATGGGATGGGTCAGGAGCCGTGGCTGGGTGCCAGCTCCCCAGTGTTAGTTCCTCAAGGGCTGCTCCAGTGAGTCTGTGTGCTGGCTCCTTCCTGCCCTCGGCTCAGGGGTGTGCTGAAGGTGCAGCCCCAGCCCCTGGGCTCTGATCAGGTGAAACACCTCTGAGAAGGTGTTGGGAGGAAAACTTCTGGCACCTGGTTTGGGGGAAAATCCCAGCGGAAAGCTCATTGCACAGAGGTTTGCAATGTGTCAGCTGATTACAGCTACAGCAGGAGCAAATGCCCAGGAGAGTTAATTCAAATTGCTGTGGGGCACTCAGTGAAAAAGTCCAATAGGGCATTAAGGAAGATAAACAGAATCCCAGCCTGGTTTGGGTTGGAAGGGACCTTAAAACTCATTCAGTTCCAACCCCCTGCCATGGGCAAGGACATCTTCCACTAGAGCAGCTTGATCCAGGGCAGGGGGTTGGAACTGGGTGATCTTAAGGTCTTTTCCACCCCAAACCACTCTACGATTCTCTAAGGGGAAACTGCTGCCTGCATTCCCACTGGCAGGTGTAGGGGGAGGAGAAAGAGGGGCTAAATCTCAGTGATGGGCAGCCTGCCCTGGAGCCAGCCCAGCCTCCCTGCCAGCACGGGCTCAGACCCAAACATGGAAAGAACGAGTCAGGTTTGAACTTGTATTAGTTTTATTCACATTTCCAGAAGAAAGCATCAGTGGAGCGCAAGGTCAGGGCCAGTGTGACACAGAGCTCAAGGAACTGGTTGAAAACAGGCAAAAAGCCATTTCAGAGGCTGAACTGAGACAACGGGTTCCAGTTCAAGTACCAGGAATTTCAAACCTAAGCATGATGGAGAGGATGTCAAAAGCTTTAAAGCTTGCTGTGCTGTAAATCCCTAAGCAGGGCAGGAAAGTAGCAGGCAGGAAATCTTCCACAGCTGAACGAGCTTATCCCCTGGGCTCAATGTTGGGGGGGGGGGTTCCCCTTGGTTGTGGAGTTTTGCCATCAGCATTGCCAAATGTTTCCATCTAACTTTAATGGGATTCATTACCCAGAGCAGAAATTTGCTGCTACTGTATTACCAGGATGATCACTGGTGATGGAACAGAAGGATTTTAACAGGACTTTCTAGCAAAGTGAACAGGAGAAAAACATGATGGCTCTGGATGTCAAAATCAGGGCCACGGGAATGAAAGCAAGAAGTAAGACCCATTTTAATGGAGAACTGACAATTCCCATCTGCACTGCCGGCCCATGGGAAGTTGTCACTGCTCTGGGTTGCTTCTAAGTAACAGACTTCTATTTCTAAGTGACTTGTGGGTTCAGTCAGGCCAACAGCTGGCTTCTGCTGACACTCAGCACACAAGGAAAGCCTCCAAAACCCTGGTGGCATTAACCAGCTCCAGGGCCGCTCACCGCAGAGTTGCAGCTTTTGCCTTTCTGCTTCAAAGTGCATTAGACAAGAAGGCATCAGGCAATCAAAGGCATCTGCAGACCCCTCACCTCGACACAGGCCTCCCACAGCACTGGGGAAAGGCAGAGCTTGTCCAGGCAGAGTCTGGCAGCAGAAAGAAGTCACCGAGCCCCACGTCAAAGTGAGCGGAACGGCATCAGCAACCAGCAAATTCCCAAGTTCTGGGGCTTGAAGATGAGCTGTTTGTCTGGCTGGTAAGGATTAGGGAACTTTAAATGTGTCCAGAAAGACACTGGAAATCTTTCTGCCCGTGTGTTATTGCGAAGTTGCTTGATTTGATTAGAAACCAGCTATATTTGGGAAGGGAGGCAGCAATAGATGTGTGCACATTCCTGCTTGCTCTGCAAAGACAATTACTGGATTACAAAAAAAGGCACAAGAAGCACATTCCTCCTCCTTCTCTCCCTAAAAGGGCTCCTCCTTCCTCCCTGCTGAACGCACTACTCTTGCTGCCACTGAACAACATCCAAGTACTCATTTTCATCTTTGGTCCAGCTGGCTTGGAAGCCCCTAGGATTAAAGATGTCTCTTCTGTTTGAATCATTTCAGTGACTGGGATCTCATTGCTTGTTTCACCAATTCTCTTCAACCTCTATCTATATATAGTAAAAGAGATGAAATATTTTGGTCTATTGCTGGAGGCAGTCTGCTGTCCCCCAACCCAGTTTCCCAAAGGATGGAGGTAAACCAGAAAATCTGGCAGAACCTGCTTGGTAGGAACAAGAACAAGGTGGAACTACACTCACCCACTTTGCTGGGCATCACAGAGGGGAAAGCAGAGCAAGGAAGGGCTCAGGTCACTGGAGAGCCAGGAACAAACCAGTTCAGCTACAGATCCTCTGCTCCAGTTGTCAGTGACCAATTTACTTTGCCTAGAAGGCGAGCTGTGTCAGTGCAGGACATGCCACTTACAATTCAAGATGTTGCACTGATGCCGGATGCGCAGTAGGATACAGGAATGTGACTCTTTGGTGAATATCCTGGTTATCAGAGTAAAAATGTGGTTTAATAAATTAAACTCGTACCTTGCCTAGTGCTTAACACTCCATTAAATCACTCTCCTGCCGTTGCCTGCCTGATAGTTAATGTTTCAGTTATTAAATATCCCACCAGCCCTACGTCTTCTCTGTGGAAGGCTTAAACTCCTTAACATCTTATACAAAAATAGAAAGCAAGAAGACAAACTGCTCTGTATATTAATCCAGGGCTGCATGGCTTCAGTGGTGTGGATTCTGCTCTGTTTACAGCTTTAAGGAACTTATCACTTTAGGCAAGTCACAAGGACCTTCCCAGCAGCTGGAAGGTTGGACAAAGGACATGGAGTGATGAGGGAAGGAAGATCAAGTGTGTTCCTTGTGTCACCACCCAGTCACAGTGTGTTCGTTCTGTTCCCAACGGCTCTCAGAGAAGCTGCAGCAACAACACTGGTGACAAAGATGCCAAGGAGGGAGTGTGAGGTGCCTACAGATGGATCACACATCTTACCAGGAAGCGCCTGAGAAACCCATGGAAATCCATGGGCAGAGCTGATGGCACAACACACAGCTGTGAACACACAGCGCTTGCAATGCTTCACACAGACAGGATTCAGCCTGGCAGCTCTGAATGAAAGGGGGGAAAAGACTTCCCAAGCTAGGATGGCTCTAACTGACCTCCAGAACCTCGTTTTGCTGTCTGTTTGAATCACAGCTCCCCTTCAGTTAAACCTCCCTGTGTGCTCTGCCTGCCTTAGCAGAGCCATACCCTGCTGCTACAGCACAGTGATTCTTTGGTAGGACAGACCCAAGTCCACCTGAAGCTGAAAAGGCTGAAGCAAAGTCGACTGCTCAAATAAAAAGCAAATTGTTTCTAGGAACAACTGTGTATCTGTCCACACAGAGTGGCCACTGCTGGGTTTCCAACTCATTCCTACCATTTGTCTGACACTGGGGAGGCCAAGAATGAACCCATCAAATTCCCCAGTGCCCCTGATCGTGCCATTTTGCTGTAAGATCCTCCTGGTCCAGGCAGCAGCTGCACAAAAGCACTGATGGAAAAATTATAGCTAAAATATTCATCTTTGTCCCCTGTGGGAGATACCTTTATGAGACATCTCTGCCTACCCAAAGCCTATCTCCACAGGGCTTGCTTCCCACTCTCTGGTGACACGAGGAAGAACATTTTGCTTGTTACCAGAAACGATGCAAGCCATCACTGATGAAACCCTCAGCCCATGCTACCTTTCTGTGGTGGAAGCAGCAAGGGTACAGTCAGGATCAGTAGGAGGAACTACAAGATAAAAATGGTCCTGAAAAGGGCATCTCTTGAGTCACAGCACTGAAGGATACAGCTGAGTTGCTCTGAAGTGCGTCTTTTCCCTATTTTCTGACACTCTTTTCTCTTTCCTACTTTCTTATTCTCTTTTCCTAGAGTTTTTACACATATATTAAACATGCTGGTGATAACTCAGTCTTTCAGGCACTCTCGTTGAACACAGCAGTCATTTTACTCACAGCTTTCTTCTTGCTATTGCAGCTCCACCAGTGTTCCCCTGGATTCCCCTTAGAACCGGAGGTTTCTTCTAGATCTCAAAAAGAGATTGATATAGCAAACCCAAACTCAATTACAAAATATAATAATATCCTCTTCTTGGAAGTGAAGCTGCCCTGTATTCCAGACTATGGCAGGAGTTTGATGTCTTGAAAAATACCTCTAATAAGTTCTACTTAAAATAGGTCCGAGTTCCGATCTGCACGTTGCAATGCTCTCAGCTGAAGGTCTGTTCCCTGTCAGTTCCTCGTGGGCTCTGCCAAAGGGCTCTTCTCAGATGTCTTCTGCAGACTTGAACATGAGAATGGCATTGTAGATCTTCAGGGCAGGACCCAGCTTGATACTGAGTATTTTAACTATGTCGCTCTGGTTCAGGAGCAGGAAGGCCTCACCGTCTATCTGCTAGAGATTGGAAACACAAGAGAAGATGAAGATTAGCATCAAGAGAGAGGCAGGATGCTCATTTCTGGTTGTTCAATTAAACAACGTGCTCTGAACTATGGAATGAAAGCATAAACACTGGTCTGAACACTGAAACCTTGTACTTCCGACACTCACCCCCTTGCTGCCTTTTCCAAGGGTCTCAGACCTCATCTACCAACCCTCCTTCTAGAAACAGAGAAGCCCAACTGCAGGCAAGGCTTCTGGAGAGGCCATCAGGGAGATGCTTGTTCCGTAGAGTTTCTATTCACTATAATTGCTCTGAAAAGCCAACAACTGTCGAAAATCCTACAGCCTAGTCACAATCTGCAGCCAGAAATGAGATCAGGAAATCCAGACCGCACATCTTCAGGAGGCAGCTATCCAAGAATTAATATATTACACTGATTTACAATGATTAGGAATGTAACATCACCATTACCTAGCACATTCATTACATACTGTCCTTGCAGAGACTCTTCAACCCCTCTTAAGCTCTTCAGGGTAAAATTTAAAGCCAAACACCCTTTCCTTTTTGGTCAGCTCTGCTAAAAACCTTAAAGATAAGCAACATTCCTGAGATGTGAAGATCTCTCACAAGCAGGATGTACCATGCCCACAGACAAGGCTTTGTTTAAAGGAGAAACATGAAGCTATTGTGAACTTGTGACACAAAATGGGCTTGCTTACCACGAGGTAAAAAGAGATTGTGTGCTGTATAAAACAAGGCATAGTAAAGATATGTCACTGTCTGGACTTACATACACACCCTCCTGATCCATCAGCAAGGAAGCATTTTGAGTAGACTCAAAGTAAGCAAGAGAAAAACATACTACCTTGTGAAAATACAGGATACTCTACATAGCAGTGAGTGAAATCATAACATCTGAGGTTAAAATTTACTTGGCTGTACTGCAACGTCCACAGAGACAACCCAGATATAATTAATATAAACCCCAAATGCTGCAGGGAAGAAGCCAAAGATTAATGGACACAGACAAACAAGATGTGTCTCCCTGAGTTATTCCATTAAAGCCCATTTACACAGACTGACAGTGTCTCATCCTCTCGCTTGATGTTCACCAGTGCAGCAGATCACACCAGACACTCAGCTCATCCACAATAACAATTCTTCTATTTCCAGAGTCTTCCTAACTCAGACTTTTTTGGACATCAATGACTGGTGGAAGAGGATACATTGAATAAACTTGGACCAATGTATAATGAAACCGAAGAGCTGGGAGCCAGGAGCTTTGGTTTCCCCTTCTCTAAGCACACAAGATGGTTAGCAAGCTACTTCACCTCCCAGTACATGCACTGGAACAACAGCAGCGTTCCCAGTTCACAGATGGTCATACACCATCCTCAAATCATATTTGCAAGCTGCCTGGAGTCTCCACGAATGCAATAACATGTTAAAATAGCTTGAAACAAAGGGAGTGCTGCTTAAATTGAATAATAGAGTCAAAAGCAGCAGAAAACTGCTGGAAAACAATCCTACATTTCAAAACACTTTTGAGCCCAATATTATTACTATGCTTCAGTTCCACTCTGTTGCCTCAAATATGCTTCTTTTAAACAGACCTTTCCTGAACTGGTCCTAGAAACAAGCACAGGATCAGTGCCTGTGCTTTATGATTCCTCTCTTTGTTCCAACTTATTTGGATGGGGTTGAAAATTCTGTGCACAATTTGTTCTCTTTGTTTCTAATGTAAGCAGCAACTTATCCCTCTTCCCCCCCTGCCAAGAGAAGGCTGCAAGGGATTTATTTATCCTAAGCAGGAGCACTCCGAGGCCTGATTACAGCTAATGGACACTGGAGGTGGAGTTCAGCAGATGCCTCACTCACACCTATGCTACAGCCAAAACCAAGCTGCTCATGGGGTTTTCATTTCAAACTGACCCTTTTGGTTGAGCATAAACTTGAAATCAACCCAAGCTCCTCTCAGCTGGCACTGGGAGTCATACCTTTGAGGCTGCAGAGAGAGGAAGGTATTAAAATAGATGTGGCTGTGCTGCTCTCTGAACCAGAAAGCGGTCACGGTGTGCAGTACCTGTTTAAATTATGGCCAGAAGAAATGAAACAGGTTGTGAGTGGCTGGATTCATGAGCAGATTTGTCAGCTCCATCTCACTTCTGAATACAGCTTCACTAGGAATCAGGAGGCACCTTTTACACTCAGCTACACTGAGAGATTGGCTCATTTGAATAAAATTCATTATTCCCACTGCAGTCAAGTAAAGAGTATTCCAGAATATTGTTTATTCCAGAGCATTAAAGAATATTGTTACATTGTGAATGGTGCTTTTTGCCAGTCTCTGTTTCTTTTGTTTTCTATTTTGTGTGTGGGCATGTTTTTTAAAACAAGGCAAAACAAAATACAGATACATAAACCCCATAAGATGCACCACGGCCTGACTCACCCGCAGAGGAAGGCAGCTCTGGGGAGCAGTCATCTGTTAAAAACCTGCCCTTTCCAGCCACTACAATGTGCAATGCTCATTCTCAGTGCAGAGGGTGTGCTCAGCACCACACAGAACAGAGAGGGGAAAGCCCTTGCCCTCAAGCTCTTGCAATCAAGAGTGATGACAGAAGAGAAGGAACATCTGTGCCAATTAATCAGGGGCTCATAAAGATCCTCCAAGTCACACCTGCAATGTGAGTGGAAGCTGCAGCATTCAGAGCCCAAGTGTCTATGATCCATTTGAAGAAATGAGCTGAAAACCAGGACAGCCATGTCCTGTGCCTGCTGAGGCTTCTCTGAAGCCGTGGTGGGTCTCCATAACCAGGCAACAGAATCCAGCCCAGCACATGGAAGCCATGGCAGGACACAGCACACGCAAGAGATGCCCTGATACCCCAGCCACTGCTTCATCAAGGAAAGGTTCCCCTCCTGCTCTCTCCTCAGCCCATTGGGGAAGCCAGAGATTCCTGGGAAACCCTACAACTGCCAGCCTTGCCAAGAGAAGCAGGCGTATGTGCTTGTTAGAGGGAGCAGATGAGATCTCCACTGCACCATTCCAACAGGACATCTTTATAACGATGCCAAACCCACCACACAATAGTCCAGGACAGGATGTTCAGCATAAGCTCAGTGATTGGAACTGCAGGGGAAATGTAAAGCAGCAGAATGCAATTAGCCAAGCTGGAATTCAGCTCCATGCTGAAGTTGCCTCCTAAATGCCAAAAGCTCTTTAATCACGAGTCTGAGTATGTCAGTGCCTGAGTCTGTGATGGGGTACAAACCACCTCACTGCCATGGGACACGCAGTGGCACAGTGCAGGATTTGACTTACCTCTTCCCTGAACACAGATGCTTGTTCTTTGCAACCAGGCAGGCGCTGGATAAAGCTTACAACCTGGAATTACATGGGAGAAAAGAGAAACACAATTCAAATGGGACAGCATCAAGCAAAAAGCTCCTGTTTCTGCATGAGAGTTCTAGATACAAATATGTTTAAAACTTTAACACTTAAAACTGTACCATTAATAAAGGGTATAGATGAAAAACATTACTGGGTTGTTGCTGCAACACCTCTGCAAAGTGTATTCTGGTTATTAATAATAACTTTTGACCACTTCTCTCCATTGCTCAAAAGGGTCCTCATAAAACATCAACTAAAAGCTCTCTACGGTTATACTATTTTAAACCCATCCACAACTTTTCTTTGTGGTACTGCTGGGGAGTAAAATTGAAGAGAAAAATGAATTTAGACAGCTCCCCATGATGACATGCCCTTAAGAGACAAGATAAACCAAGTGAGTGAGCGCTGCTGGTTTCCCAATGCACAAAGGAGGTTGGAGTTTATTTAATCCATGGTGGGTGCACAGGATCCACAGAACCAATAGGATTAAACAGGTAAAAGTTTCATTTGACATTTCACATCAGGGAAGATCCTTTCTAAGCAGGAAATCTGTGAACATTTGGAATAAGCTCCCCGGAGACACGCAAGCAGCGCCTGGATTACATTATATAAGAAACAGTGTGAGGAGCAGCCGTGAGCACAGCAGAGGGTGGGTTAATGTGTATTGTCTTCTCCAGCTGCAGCTTCACTGGTTCACAGAAGATTTGTATATCGAGGCATAATCAGATCAAACATCTCATGCTAATTGGATGCTCCCTTGCAGGAACAGCTCTGTTTCATGAGGCATATTCGTGTGAGTTAGTGCAGATGTGACATTTCTTCCATGAACACAAACAGTTCGGAGGGGTCACTCTCAAATCCAACCTTCCCTTTAACTCAGAATTGCCAGGCTCTTGACTCGTGTCACTGCATCCCCAGCTGATCCCATATTCATTCCCTTCCCCCAGTTCCAACCACTCGGATTGGAGCTGTCAGCATGGCCTCGGGCTCTGCTCTGCCCCAGCAGAAGCTCAGTTTTGGTAACAGCTCCGACTCCCGTGGTTTCCATGATGTAATCTGAAAGCAGAGCATCCCTCTCCTGCTTCACCTCATCTCCTGCTCCATTTTAAAGGGAACCCCTAAACCCCATCAGGCAGTGGCTCCACATTTTCTTCTGCAGAAGTGCAATCTCCTGTTATAGAGGATTATTACAGAAATCTCCTATTATAAACAAGTAACAAAATACTATTTGCTTTTTTGAACCCCCCTCCCCATTCCTTATTATTATATAATATCATTGTACTGCTCTACAAGAAACCTGGAGAGGGGCTTGGGACAAGGGCCTGCAGGGACAGGGCAAGGGGAATGGCTTGAACCTGCCCGAGGGGAGACTGAGCTGAGCTCTTAGGCAGAAGCTCTTCCCTGTGAGGGTGCTGAGGCGCTGGCACAGGGTGCCCAGAGAAGCTGTGGCTGCCCCATCCCTGGCAGTGCTCAAGGCCAGGTTGGACACAGGGGCTTGGAGCAAGCTGCTCCAGTGGAAGGCGTCCCTGCCTGTGGCAGAGGTTGGAGCTGGATGAGCTTTAAGATCCCTTCCAATCCAAACCACGCTGTGCTTGTATTTGAGAGGTGCTGGCCAGGTCAGGAGCACAGTGGGATGGGATTCAGGAAGCTCAGGGCTTTTCCTCTGAGGAGGCAAATTCCTGCTTGCCCCTCCTGCTGGGAACAACCTCAATGCTCAGAGCTATCTGGTGGAAGCATTTTACACTATGACTGCCACTGGTAAAGGGAGAGAGGGTGAAAAAGAGCTTTATGGAATTCTGAGAACACCTCAGAAACTCCATGCAACCATATGGAAGGCGCTGATGCAGTCCCAGATACATGTGGTGTACTGAAAACAGCACAGTACTTGTACACCTTGTTGGTACAGCTGGAAGAAAGCCTCAGACACCTCTTCAGTACCAAGTTGTAGCAGAACTGACAACACCTCATGAGACTACACAGAATGGAGCTGGGTTTAACTGGGATTTAGTAACCCACAAGCAATTAGCACAAGGACAGTGCCCCCAAGGTATGAGCATCTGATGCAGGATTAAGTAATGAACAATACAACTGTAGCACATCTTAATGTTCTTCTGTGATTGGATATCCTTCATGAGCTGTGCTCTGAGAACATGACAGGAAGCTTTCAATAAATAACCAAGCTGCATTAAAGTAACTACTCTTGTTGTCTGTTCAGTGTTAGCAAGAGAGTTTTAGCTTGAGGGCCCCTAAATGCTGCTGCTGCTCTGCCATTTCAGCTGTTCTCAACCAACAGAGAATTAAAGCAACATTTTTTTCCTTAATGTGGGTTTTATAAAATAAAAGCACCTCTTCTGTCTGCAACCAAAGGAGGATTTTACACCCCCATTGCTCCTGTTTCAGATCAGCAGAATGGGCTCCTTTGTGCGGCAGAGTTCAAAGCACAACCCAAAGGCAAGTGTTTGCCCTGTAGGGGGATTTAAGAGCCCAAATGTCGACAGACCTCATCTACTTTGGACTCACTACAGCACAGAAAGTCCTGATGCTTTCATCTGCCAGACCTGAGGCAACATTCCACTGCACATGCTGATCCTGCAAGTGCTCGTACAGTGGCCAAAGGGATTCCTATGGGAATCTGTGATGAACATGATTTGCAAAACCACATCCCACTTGCCTGAAATCCAAGACAAAACCTGTAATGACTGTAGCCAGCTCATTGTGGTGCTGCAGCTGAGGGGGTTCATGTGCCCATTCACACTCCTACTGACAGCCCTTGGTTCAGGCTGCAGCTCAGTGTATTCTGGGTTCTGAATCACTGGATCCCAAGTGCCCTGTGTTCCTGCCCTGTGCTCCCTACATCCATTCATCCCTTATCAAACTAATACCCTAGTTAAATTTATCCAGCACTTGTTTTAAAGGTCAATGGCAAAGGGCAAATTGTATTTGGCTTGTGTCTTGACTTGTTTCCTCCATGAACCAGCCTCCATGTTTTATCCAAGAGAAAGAGATCCTGATTTCCATGTCAGAGGATTAACTGCTTTCTGCCTTCATTGATTTTCTAAAAGGCCTTTTGGAAAAATCATTGGAAGCTTTCTCAAAAGAAGGATGAGAACAGCAAAGCTTTCAAGGAGGTTTTTCTCCTCGCTATGAATTTAATTCAAACTCATTTTTATATCCAAACCACCAAACAACAAAACCACCAGCAGAAAAGGCCCATGTTTTAAAGCAGCAATGCTAATTGCTCTATCCCCCTCACAACTGCTGTGGCGCCCATCTCCTGGGATACTGCAGTCCCACCGGACTCCAGCATGAAGAGCAAAGTCAAGATTGGATTCCTGTGATGGAAGAGGCACTTAGGGAAAATGCACTTTCTAAAGGCTCTGAAGATCCTTCCTGCAGCATGACAAACAGCACCTTTTTCTTGCTTTTCACATTACCTCCATACTTGCAAGCACAACATCACAGCACATCCCTCTCGAATTAAATGGGCTGTGATTAAGCACCTGGATCCAAATTGTCACCATTCCCCATGCAGAGATACAAGTATTATTTATGCCCAAAGCATCAAGGCAAAACTTGACTACTCAGCACACAAAATCTAGTGGCTTTTTCATATGCCACCTAATTAGAGGAGACATCTCAAGAGCTAAGGCTGCAGAGACACGTCCGCAGCTGCACAGCTCCCTCTGGCAGGAATGAGGGCAGGCTGTGGGCAGTTTTGTTCCAGGGGAATCAGGAGGAGTGGGCATGCACAGTTTGGAATGAGCTGCAATGTAAAAGTGAATCAGCAGCAAAGTCAGAGGAGAGGGGGAGGGAGATCAGAGAGAAACAGGAGCCTGCTGTCGGAGTCATGTTGCAGGCCTGAGGACTAAAAGATCAAGGGGTAATAAAGAAAGGGAGGGAATCCGATTCAGGGAAATAAGCCATGGACACCAGTGTGTTAAGAGGGATCCTTCCCCTCCATTATAAAGGGACTTGGGTATAACTTCTAGCTGAGTCAGCAAAGCAAACAGAAGAGCATTCCCTAGGAAAGGAAAGAAAATAAAGAGATCTTCCAGTTTGCACTCCAGAAGAGAAGGGCTCTGCCATTCCTGCACCCCAAGAGAGCAGAACAGGGACCAGGTAACTCACCTCTTCCACAGTCCATTTGGCCACGTGTTTGGCTGTGAGGCCTGAGACCTCTGGCAGGAGCTTGCAGTGCTTCTCCCAGCAGAGATGGAGGCGGTGGGTCGGGTTAGAGGCCAGGGAAGGCATGAAGATGGACTGGTGGAGGGCCTGCTGGAGATCCAGGTCAGGGTCTGGAAAAGGAAACAGGACAAGTCAGAGTAAGGCTTCAAGTAGGAGCAATTACAACAGAGCAGGAGGGAGGGTCACGGCCAGGCAGGGCTGCTGCATGGCACACTGGGCTTCCAGGGCGTTCTTCCCACCCTCCTGAGAAGGAGAAAGCAAAAGCACACTGAGATTGCCAGGCTGGAGGCTTTATCATTAGCTTCATCCCTGGAAAATGATGTCATGCTGCTAACGGAGAAGATGTTTGCAGCATTTTATTGACAAGGTGGAGGAGTTCTGGTAACAGCATCTTCTGCTGGAAACTAATGGCATCGTTCCAGCTTACAGCTGTAGCCAGCCTGGGAAGAGCACTACATGTGCCAGCTGATGGCCTGGGCTCACTACCTCCCCAGGCAGGCTCTCAGGCCAGGGGTGTTGCAGGTTACCTCCATCCATCCACTCCCTCCTTGTGTCATGTGTCAGCTTTAAAAACCAAGGCAAGAAAGAGGAAGAAATCACCCCTCCCTAATGAGATCACTGAGTAGTGCAGAGTCATGGTCCTAGGGGGACTTGCCTGGTTACACAACAGGAAGTGAAGCGGAGCAGGGAAGCAAGATGGGAAACATTCCTCTGGTTTACAGCAGTTACCCTGTGCTGTCCCCTCACCGCCTGCCCTGCCCAGCAGTGCACAGGGTGCCTGGCCCCATCCCCTTGTAACCAAAGCTGGCCTCAGCTGGGTCTGCTCAGTGTGAGCACAAAGGGTTGGGAGCAGGCTGGTGTGGAAGGATCTGTGGGGTGTGCAAGTCACAGAGGAAAAACAGTGTCAGAAAGAAAAAGCTGATTTCCTAGAGACTGGTTTGGTTTGGAAAGGACCTCTTGTTTCTCTTGTAGCCCCTTTAGGCACTGGAGCTGCTCTAAGGTCTCCCATTCAGGAGCCTTCTCTTCTCCAGGCTGCCCCAGCCCAGCTCTCTCAGCCTGGCTCCAGAGCAGAGCTGCTCCAGCCCTCGCAGCATCTCCGTGGCCTCCTCTGGACTCACTCCAACAGCTCCCTGTCTCTCTGGTGCTGCTGCCCCAGAGCTGGATGCAGGACCTTGCACTTGGCCTTACCACCTCCCTAAAGGATGTGGGACAGCATCAAACACAGGTCTCTATTTCTAACGATGAGACCAAAGAGATAGGATTTAAAAAGCATAAAGCCTGAGTAAAAACTACTTAGTTCAGGAACTGGTGCTCCTGGTGATGACAGGGCAGAGGACAGTGCTCCAGGAGGGATGTCACCCAACCCTCCCCTGCCTCCCTGCTGCAGAAAGTCCTATTCATGCCCAAGGCTTTACGTCCTGCCACATCTCTGTAGTGTGGGCACTGCCACAGACTGGCCGCTTCACTAAGCCCAAATCCTCAGGGGTAAGTCCCTGTCCAAAGCACGACCTAACCAAGTTCCTTTCCCTCTGAGAAAGAGGCAGTGTTCTAACAGTTAAACGTTATGGGATGGAAGCTCTTGGTAATCACAAAATTACAGGTCAGTGGATTATTGCAGCATTTCCCTCCACTGATTTCCATCCTTGTCTTTCAGGTGAATGTGAAGGGAGGGCAGAGCTTTCCCTGCCAGCTGCAACCACAGCTCGGAGCTGGCCAACTTCTCCAGCTCAGAGCGCACGAGGCAGCACGAGGTAAAAAATGAGTATTTAAAAAGGAAAACCAAGCAGCCAGGCACCTGTCCCACTTTGTGCCTGCTTAGCTATTTTGGATTGAAGACTTATTACCATGTTAAATCCTCCTAAAAGCCTGGTCAGCTCAGTTCTCTGAAATGGCTTTTTATAGTAAATCTGAGAGTTAAGCATATGGTTTGCTAAAGTGATATCAGAAAGCTTCTCTTAAAACTTAACCTGTCATGTACCAGGGGAAAAAAACTCAGGCACTTTCCATTTAATTGCTCATTTTCTTTTCCATCCTCAGGAGAACCTTAAAAAAGTAACAACCAAAATGACTCAGATTATGTTTCTGAATACCCAGGGGAGTCTAAAGAAAGAAGTTGATGGAACTTAAACTATCTGCCAGGTTTTCAGCAGCAATCCCTTGCAGTCTCTGCTGCTCTGACAGCAGAATGGTCACTGTTTAGGGAACAAAACCCCCCTTGCCTCTTCAGAGGAGTATGTGGTGGTACAAGAGCTGGTGCGTGCTCTCAGTTAATGAATATGAGGCTTCACTTACAAAGTCCTTTCACTTCTAGGTCATTTTACCCTTCCTCCTCATTTTAAAGGGGCTATTACCATTACCATCACCTCTACCATGTGCTTGCTCTTGACTGTGGGATAAAAGCGAGCTGTCTTCAGTGCTCCTTGTGACTGCTATATTGCACATACAGCACACACACATTAAAAGAAGGAAAACTGAACCAACCTTTCCCATTGCTTTCCTGTTTCACCAGCTGGAACTTTATATAGGCATGTGAGCATCCAAGCCTGAAAGCATCAATTACAGAACATTTCAGAAGATACACAAATTGACCTAATTTCTTCTCTGCACAGACTTTAATGAGACTTACAGGAACCAAATCCCTTTCCCTCTTAAAACAAGCAATAGCATTGCTCCATCCCTGACCCCTGTCTCCAAGCTAAGGACTGTGCTATTAAATCCATGGCTAGAACTCAGATGTGAGTTAACTACAGGAAAGAGAGGGCCCAAAATAATGGGAGGAAGGGAGGAGATTAACCATGTCATTCTATACCCCTATTCTGCAAACCTCTGATCAAATGGGGGCTGTTCGATGATTTACATCTGTATTTCAGATCTAGCAGCAGCATCAGGAAACACAACTGCTAATGAACAAAAATACACCAAAAATCTTATTTACTTCTTCTGTTTGGCTTTGATGTCTGCAAAGGAATCCTCTTCTCCCCAGTCTCTCTCTTGATTGCTTTCAGACTGTTCCGACAGGCTGTGAATACTGCTTTGACACGACTTTTCACTGTCTTGGGCAGATCTGGCAAGACACATAAATGACACGAGCTCAGCTGACATCCCCTGTTCCCTTTCCAAGCAGGAGAGCAAAGCTGGTTGCTCCTTGCAAGAGAGAGCAGCAGCTACCACCTAGTGGTAGCAGCTTTCCTCTCCCCATCGTCATTACCAGTGCAGTACAAAGTGCTTTTTCTACTCTTCAGCGTGGATTGGGAGAGATTATGTGAAGCAAATCAGCCTCTGAGGACAGGCTCCGATCCCAGCAGGTACAAGAAACCCACTGAAACATGTGTTCTGGTGAATCTTGGTATCTCTGGGTAACATTTAAGGGTCTCCATGACTTGAGTTTCATGCAGAAACTGAGCTAAGAACAAGCAGTAGGGTGTTATTTGCATATTGAATTCAGGCCTCCCACTATCAGGAAATAAAATACTTAGGAGAATAGGGATATAATTTTAGAATGCCATTTATTCTGGGAGAATCCCAAAGCTCCCAAGAGAGCTTTAGGGTAACAGTGCCACTGAAATTAAATGAGTTCTGGTGTTCAAATTAGGAAATGGAGACTCCTGAACATCCCTGGGATGGGAGAAGGCAAACTGGCCATGGTGTGCCAGGGTGGGGACACAAGGATCCCTTTTTCTGGCCAAATAGATCTTGAAAATGTTGTAAATCTAAGCAAATAAACGACCTTTCAAATGTATATAAACCCTCCTATACAACACAGCCCAAAAGAAGTGCTGGACTTTGCCCTAGTGAGACTGGATTTGTCCAGACTAAAGGCGACAATAACAAAAACCTTCGTATCTACAACACACTTCAACTGCCTCCTGCAGGCCAAGAACTTAACACACAGTTTGCTTCAATGCTACTCAATTCCAAGCTTTTCATGTAAGAAAATAAAGTACTGAAGGAGCTCAACTTGTTTGCCAAGTATACATATACAGCAGTGCAATGCAGTAGGCTCTGGGGTGGATTGCAGTCACAGTCTAATAGTGCAACATAACCTTGCTTGACAGTTTTAGGACAAGGAAGCAAAGGAAAAAAGAATATCTTTTAAATTGAAACAGCAAGGAAAAATTTATGGGGACAGAATGCAATTTCCTTTGTTGGAATGTGCCCAGAGCAGCAGGATTAAGGAATCAAGAAACCTATTAAGGCATATGAGGGTATGAAAGTGCACTGCTCTGGGTTAAGAGTGTCTGGGGCATGGGTCAATATTACAGACAGATGAACTCAATGCTCTGCTGCTTCTCTGCCAATTCCTGTGGTTTTCAGCCTTGTGAAATGGTTTTGCTCCCCAGCACCTGCCCAAGAGAAGGGTTCAGCTCACCGGGACTGGGGAGAGTCCTCCTGAGAAGACTCTCCTGCTCCCGAGAGGAATGGGGCAGGAGTCTCTGGCCTCTTGGCTTTCGGCATGCTGCTGCTGGGGGAAGGTCTCTCCCCACTCAGGCGGTCCTGCAACAAGTTTTCTCTGTTGAGGTTCACCTCAGAATATGGGCAGCCAACCAACCTGTGTTAAAGAAGAGAGAGACAAGAGAGAGAGATGGTGATGCATGTTTTTAAGTCATTAAGTCTTCCCAGCCTCAGGCAGACATCTCCATCAACAGGAAAATGAGACCAGGTACACTCAGGGAGATGTTATTACCCAGGCTTAGGTGCAGGAAAGCAGGGCACTGCATGGCAGAATTAGAAACCAAAGTCATGTTATTAAAGAGTCACCTCAGAGAACAAGAGCAAAGAGCAGCTCTTCCTCTGTAACCTGCTTGTCTGAACAGTAATTCATGAAACAAGAGACTCCTGCAACTTCCACTCTGAAAAACTCAAAGCCCTTTGCCACATTATATACTGCTAGATCTTCAGACCTCCCATCTGAGATGGTTTTCTTGCTCTCTGATATAGTCTAATCAAGAACAAGCTTCCTTTGCCAAGAGCACATAAGAAATCAAAAGGCAGAGTACAAAACATGAGCTAGCTCTCCTCACTCCTGTACTTTAATAATCAACCCACACTCTCCCCTTTTATCTCCTTGCATGCTGTTCTTGGGTATACTGGTTTATACAAAAAATCTTTCAGGAATGCTGGAATGTCGGAATTGGAGTGAATCTATGTTGGATTGCATTACAGTTGTAATGATCACACTGGTGTAAACAGAATCGAGAGTGAAACAGCACCTTTAGACACAAGAGGGAGCTGCAATTACAGTTACGACTCTCTCCAGACTAAACACCCTGAGGTGATTTCAGTGCAGTGCAGGTGCTTGTTGCTGCACTGTTAGCATGGACAGCAGGCAGAACCCTTCCAAGAACTCCAGTACATACGTATAATGTGTTCCATAGCGGGGTCCCCTCACATGGCCGATCCCATGGCAGCCTGGAGTAGGACACGTTTGTCCCACTGCTCCCACTTGATCAACAGCTCCTGGGGAAGAGAAGAAAGCAGTCAGAGATGTTTCTGCTCCTGCATCTGAGGAAAAGAGTCATCAGAGCAGACTGCACTGAGGAAAAGAGTCAACGTAACAATATAATATCATCTACTTTACCTAGAGGCACTTGCAAAGCATGTCCAGTTTTTGCACACCAGCCTACTGGATGGACATCAGGGCTGTCTGCATCGACCCAGAAATCGTAATGACGGTCCCAGCCATCAAAATGTATCTAAAAGAAGCACAGCATCAGTGAGAGACACAGTTAAGGACATGACTCAGCTTTTAACTTCCCCCTTTGTTTCACCTTGCTCAGCTTGGGGCTGATTCATTCAATCTTTCAGTCCAGCACAATGGCTCTTTGTGCTCAGTGTAACCAGTTCTCTTCCTGATCCTGCATGTGTGTTTTACAGAACAACCAGAGTCTGGGGACACACTCACATCACAGGGAATGCAAGAAAGCAGAGACCACGGGGTGCTCCAGCACATTCCACACTCAGAGATCAAATCTGTGTGAACACAATTGCTTTATTTAATTGTCTTGGTTTCCAAGAATCCCAAAACACCATAAAATCCAACAAGTTTGGTGGCTTGTACAGTGAACAAGCTAGAATTTTCGGCTGGGTGAAGAAGTAACAGAATCCCAGTCTGGTTTGTGTTGGAAGGGACCATAAAGCTCATCCAGCTCCAACCCCTGACATGGGTTCCACTGGAGCAGCTTGCTCCAAGCCCCTGTGTCCAACCTGGCCTTGAACACTGCCAGGGATGGGGCAACCACAGCTTCTCTGGGCACCCTGTGCCAGCGCCTCAGCACCCTCACAGAGAAGACCTTGTGCCTAAGAGCTCAGCTCAGTCTCCTCTCTGGCAGGTAAAAGCCATTCCCCTTGGCCTGTCCCTACAGGCCCTTGTCCCAAGCCCCTCTCCAGGTTTCTTGCAATCCCCCTTTAGACACTGGAAGACTGTTCCAAGATGTATGAACTGAGTATCATGCTACCATATACTGGCAAAACTTGACTTCTGCTTGCAATCACAGTGATGAGACCGAGAATCAAATGGCTAATGGGGAGCAAGCTCCACTCCCGAGCACATACTCATCATTTAGGAAGGAGACCTGTGGCTGAGGAGCCTGCATCAGTGCAGCCTCCACTTTAGCTGGCTCATACTTGAATTCCTCAGACGCCAAAGCACAGTGAGCATTTCTGGCAATATATTTACTTGCAAAGAATTGTTCAAATCCATTATGTTACAAATTCACACTGGAGGATGAAGCTGCTTCCCACATGTACCAGGGTGCAACTCGGTTTGGGTTTTCCTTGAAGTATGCTAGGAAAAAACTGTCAGGTAGCTTCCCATCAGCAGAACATGAATGCTGCCTTCACTCACACAGACACTGCTACGAGATGCCAAATCATGCTGTCAAATGCTGTTTCAAAATAGTTATACTAAAACAGTAAATAACAATACCAGGCGATTCCATTTCAACAGGGCAAAACAACAGAAATCATTCCCAGTTGGGCAGGCCTCTGGCCTGCATCATCTACAAGGCATTTGCTTGCTGCTTCTGAGACCAAACAGGTATTTCTTCTATGCTGCCAATCACTATATTCCTCCGGACAAGGGCTCTGCATTTCAAAGCAAGGTCATACCTTAATGCGATGGTCGTCTTTGTCAACTATTGTTGCCACTCTTATCAAGATGGGATTTCTTCTGTCCACAGCCTCTAACTTCATATTAACTTGGAATCCGTGAGCAGGCCGCTGAAAGAGAGGATGTAAGCAGAATGCTAAGTCTGGGCCTTCACAGCTCCTCACCTGTTCAGAATGAAATGTGCTCAAGTTTACATCTACCACTCCAACCCCTCTGCAGCTCCAGCCCCTGATCTCACCAGCAGACTGCTTCTCTGGGCACCCTGTGCCAGCACCTCAGCACCCACACAGGGAAGAGCTTTTGCCTAAGAGCTCAGCTCAGTCTCCCCTCTGGCAGGTTCAAGCCATTCCCCTTCTCCTGTCCCTTCACTAAGCAGGTTTTCATCTACTTCTTAAAACAACAACTGCGTCTGCTTGCTATCAACGACTGCAGAGAACCGTGGTGCTGGGACTTGAGAGCGGCTGCACTTCCTCACCTGCCCTTTCCCTCAAACCCCAGCAGCCAAAGGGCTCTGTAAAACCTCCAGCGTGGCCTCTGACCTGATGCATGCCCCTTGCAGCACCCACAGATGTCACCTCTCAGTAACAGGCAGCATTTACAATTCCTTCCATTTATCTTGAATTGCCTGACTGCAATTCCTGCTCTGACCTCCCCAGCTGGGGGTGTGCAGCACTGGATGCTCATTCCAAACACGTCCTTCTCCACTCCTGCACATTAAGGTCAGGATTTTAGCAAGAGATGATCAATCGTGTCTTTGAACCAGATCAGGTTAATGAAAAGATGATTATAATCATTCTTCCCTCCTAATCTTCCTTACCCTTCCTAGTGCTGGGGGCAGGGAAGGAGGCCCACTTCTGAGCCAAGGGCATAACAGGCTCCAAACCTCCTTTCTCTTTAGTCTTTTCACCTGGATGCAGACATTTACCCAGAGGCTTTCAGGAACACAACACACAGGAAGCCAGGCAATCTAAACTGCTTTTAGTTTTAGGACTGGCTTCCTGAACCCAGCCAACCTTGTCTGTCTTCCTTGAGGAGCCCGAGTGCAGGAGAACAAAATCCTGCCCTGAAGATGAGCCAGACTATTTATTTAAGTCTTGCTGCCTTCTGGCAACAGCTTATGAATGCTTTTGAATTGACAGCCCATGGAATGAAACAGTGATGCTCACGATGAAGCCGTCTCCTCCTGTGGCTTCGGGTAGGGGAGAAGACAGAAACCCAGACACAAGATCTGCTATTTGGGCTGATGATCAGCGTCTCCAGATGACGTAAAATAGCTCTTTAAACCTGTTCAAAACTAATTCAGTGAGAAATGCCTGTTCTGGCTCTCAACCTGTATTTTTATGTACTGATTTCCTGTAATTGCTAGCTGGAATAATAATAATAATAAAAGAAAATCGATAACTGTGACATGTATTTGCACTTCAGACCAACCAAGCCAGGAAAATAATGAGGTTTGATCTTGAAAGAGTTCTATTAACTGTTGATATATCAACGGCCTTTTTGTGTGTGTCTCATCTTCAAAACAGAGTCTTGAATGCTAATTTATATTCCGGAGTTTCATCAGAGCCAGAACTGCCCCTTCTGCTGTTCTCTCAAAGCCAGATACCTGAAGAAGCAAAACAATGGCTGCAGAGATGTCCGTAAAACAGGGCAAGAGGTGGACAAGACAGTTGCATTCCCCCTTGGGAAGACACTTAACTTTGGAAGAACCCCAAAAAGGGACCACTCAGTGCTGCAAAGGCTCCTGAGCAAAGCTCCTGTCATCTTCAGGTGACAGTTCTTAACATACCTTATATTCCGAAAATCTGAGGCAAGAATGCCACAATGAGACATTTCTGAGGACTTCAGACTGGGAGGATTAAGATGGTTGTACTTCACTGTTGCTTTTTGTATCGTATAATCTCATGGGTTTGGGTTGAAGGGACCTTAAAGCTCATCCAGCTCTAACCCCTACCACAGGCAGGTACCCCTTCCACTGGAGCAGCTTGCTCCAAGCCCCTGTGTCCAACCTGGCCTTGAGCACTGCCAGGGATGGGGCAGCCACAGCTTCTCTGGGCACCCTGTGCCAGCGCCTCAGCACCCTCACAGGGAAGAGCTTCTGCCTAAGAGCTCAGCTCAGTCTCCCCTCGGGCAGGTTCAAGCCATTCCCCTTGGCCTGTCCCTACAGGCCCTTGTCCAAAGCCCCTCACTAGGTTTCTTGCAGCTCCTTTAGGCACTGGAGCTGCTCTGAGGTCTTCCTTGAGCCTTCTCCAGGCTGAACCAGCCCAGCTCTCATAAAGACTTTTATTACCTTTCCAAAATATTTGTCTCTACAAAATGACTTCTATTGTTCCCCTATTGTGTAGCAGCCCCATTGCTGCATTCTTTTTGCTCTTGTATTCTGAAGATTCCTGGTTTCCAGCACTGTTGGGATTTTACCTCAGAAAAAGGCTGAGCCTACCCCTAGGAGCAACAAACATGCCCCAGTGACAAGCTTCACTCATTATCCCGCACACTGGCCCCAAGGTGCTCCTTCACACGCTGCGCTGCACGATCGAAGATGCTGTCTGTCCAGCCCTGGAAAACCTTAATCCAAAGGATGCCTGGAGTTCAGCTGTGCTGCAGATAACTGCAGCTGTGGCCTTTCAGCCCTCTAAAGAGGCAAACCCAGCCTCTCTGTACTTCCACCTTGCAACCTTCAACTTCAAATGGACGCCTGCTGAAAACTAGCAATTATCAACCTTGTCTGGCTGGATTTTTACCTCCCTTATCTGAGGCCTCCCTGATTGCTTTTCCTCCTCAGTCCCAAAATGCTGACCAACAAAATATACAGGAGGACAGCAGGTATTAACCTGCAACTCTTCATGGAAAGGACTCGAGTGTCATGTTGGCACAGCAAAGTTATTAAACACATTGCAAAGGTGAGCAAGAAGCTGCTAAGAAAAACAAATCATCAACTTTCAGGTATGGTGCTTAAAATGAAGTTATTTTAAAGGATTTTGTTTTTGCTCACAGTGAGCTTCCAGTTAAATGCACTGAGCCCCAAGGTAAGAAACAAAACCTTGAGAGAACCATCTCTGCATTTAGGTGCAGGCAAGTGATATCCACTTCTGACCCCCACGAAAGGAGAGTCTGGAACCAGTTAAACAAGCACCAGTCCTGCTCAGGTGTTACCTAGGAGATCACGCAGTCAGGCCTCAAGCAGAAGGCTCCTCTCTCTGTACTGCCCTTCACACATACCTCTGACAGCTAGTTATCTGTGTGGACTAAAGGCCCTTCCCTTAAACCTGCTGATGGAGCAACTGAAGATGTTCAGTCAAATCTCTTCTCTAAGACAGCTTTCCATGGCTGTGTTCTCTTTAAGCAGCACTGAGAGATGATCTTCAACTCAGGCTTAAAGTAAAGGAAAAAAACCTTTTGGCACAGCCATGGTGAACCACCATCAAATAAAGCACCTTGCAGCAAAGGGTCGGTAACAGCAGCCTCTCCCACCTTCCAAAGAAAGAGATTCACCAACCAGTTTGAATGCTCTTGCTGGAGCTGACTGGGAATTAGTTTCTTCCAAGTATCTCTCCCATGAGAAGCCTTTGGAATCGTTGTATCCTGGAAAATACAGAGAATTACCATTTAAGTAAGAAAAAACACAGGTTTATTGTTACAAACAACAGAAAGGCAGCTATGCAGCACATGGTTATTGGTTAATTTAGCACTTACAATGGATGGCACTGGAAACTGGTCTGTTTATTCGTACACACCATGCAGGGCAAGCTTCCCCACAGGGCTTTAACCCTGACCTGAAAAACCTGAAGAGCTCATGTGTGTACAACTTTATCAACCCTTATTTGCTAGAGAAAGCTGCTGGTGAGAGGGTTCTGGGATGTGCAGTGGCATCACCTGATTCATTTCCTTGTTTCTTAACGTGTGAATGCCCACAAGATTGTAGAAACTTCTCATGTCCTGCTACCTACTCACCCATAGCTGAGGAAACCTGGAGTCTGGAGATAAAAGGCTCCATCAGTGTTACCATAATCTCAAACATCCACATGGATGCGCTGCTCTGACAACAGTGGATGTCTCTCCCTGGCAACTACATTTAAGAAACTGCTCTACTTTTCTTCCCCCTTCCTATTTCAGCAATCCTTAGCCTCCGTATTGTTTCCTTTTGGCAGAGGGTGCAATGACTAACTGCGTTAGACAGTCTGCAAACTGCTGCACGCGGATCTCTCAACAGAGACATCAGAACTGACTGCAGAGAGTGCTGGGGGCACAGGCACTTGTGCTCAGAGATGAGGAACTGCACGCCACAGCCCTGGTGCTCATTCCAGGAGCAGGAGCAGATGTGGTGCTGCTGAAGAGGAAGTGTTTACAACCCCCTCTGCATCAGCAGCAAAGGCACAGAGGCTAATTCCTCCAATGCAGAGGGATGTTATTGTGCCATCCACTCTACTAACACAGGAATTCTTGCTCCAGGGCTGTCAATTTAGCAAACAGCAGACATCACTGTTTTCTGGTTGTTATTTTTGAGGTGAATGAGCACTCCCAAGGCCTGAAAACAACACTGATTTTCCTCTGCGTTCTGTCCTTTTTCATTTGCCAACATTCTCTTCATTTACTGAACTCCAGTGCAGCAGAAAGAGCTGTGACTTCAGTTACTCCTTCATTTCCACAGATTCCATCTGTGAAATCATAACATCAAGTCCCCTTGCTTCCAGCTCACCTTAAATGCTACAAATACTTCAAGGTTCTTTCCCTTCTGAAACCAAACACAACTACAAATCACAACCCCCTGTCCCAGCTCTTGAAAGAGCTATGAAACAAAACAAAATGCAGAGGCAAAAAGAACAGAGACTAATATTGTTCAGTCTGAAGAGGACTGGATGGAGCCTGGAACTTGCAAACGTAATTATATGGAAGGCAAAGCTCACAGGTTACTTGACTGAGGCAGGAAATAAGTCTCACTTTCAACATACCAGGTGGTGTTGTCAGTGGGGTTCCAGTTTCTTGGCAGTAGCCAACAGGACGGATATATGGGCTGCTAGCTTCACACCTGAATCAAAGAAGGAAAGTTGGCACCAGTTAATTTCCAAGCACCAGCAAAAACAGAATCTCAAATGCTGTCTGATACGCCTTTGCTGGCCTAGCAGATGCTTTCAGTGGGTGTGGAAGACAAGCATTACCTCGTCAGAATGTCTAATGCCAAGTGTTCAAAGCATTCAAGCTGCCCCCAAAACTAGGGAAACATAAAAAAGAATGTCTGGTGCTTTAAAACCCAACAACAAACTCCCCACACGTGGACTATACCAGCCACAGGGATCATCCCAGGTCATCCCAGCTAAAATGAATGGAAGCAAAACCTAAACCCTCGTTCCTAAGCGAAACAACATCACTGTGGAAAAGGGGAAATGATTTGTTAAGGTCTTTGCCAAGACCTGCACATAATCCACTAACTCTAGCTGAAACCTAGTGGTAATTTGCCTGGTTCCCACTCTGACTTCATGTTCAGGTCTTCTGAGTCCCTGAAGGAGGCAACGGGCCACTGTGAGACAGCCCTTTTGCCACATCTGCTCCAAGGAAGGGAGCAAAGCAGTCTTTCAGATGTAGGCAAAAGCCTGTGTGTTTTCAGCCAAGCTGTACTTTGAAGCTTTGCTTGCCTGTGTTTCCCATTAAAATTTTCAAATTCCAAACAAAACATGGCACGGCAACAAAAAATTCCCTGGCTCAAATGGTAAAGGGACGAGATCTAAAGTCCTGCAAATGGAAACGCTGATGTTACAAAGCTCTCATGACATATTTATGGCAGAGAAAGAAAAGGCAAACTTGCCACCAATCAGGTCCCTATTCTGAAGCAAACAGACAAAAGGAGACAGGGAGAGAACAGAGGATACTGAGCGAATCAGTGCTGGTTTGATAAGCATGTGCCTTGTGTTGCCTTCACAAGTTCAAAGCAAGTTAATCCCTTGATGTAGGCTGGAAAACAAGAACCAAAAAGGGAAAACATTCCTTAATATTCCACCTGGCTCCAGCATGAGGGCAGGGGATCAAGATTCTCAGGTGCAGAACAACCATCGTGCAGGTCAGGACTGAAAAGCCTCAATGTTGGCAGTCATTGTTATTTTCAAAGGAGTTTAGCCAAACTCTGCTGAAGCAAATGGAAATGGTTTTCACTGATTTCAGTACTGCCTGCTTCCAAGCTTGCAGAGAGACACGCCAGCAACACTGCTGGTCCTGGAGGAGAGAGGTTACCAATTCCAGGTGGGATCATCAGTGGAGCTTGCTCTTGCTTTAGCTCTGCTAGAGGAGTGGATAATGTGAGCACCCCCCGACCTGACCCAAGTCAGCCAGATTCATTCCCTCAAATGCTTCTTACCTCAAATCCTTCACAGGCAGTTTGAGCTCACCCCACTGGTGTTGCACTGAGCCAACCTCCCCCAGTAACAGGGGAAGCTACTGGGCAAAGCACACTTGGTAGAAACCAAAGTAATTACTCAGATGCTTGAAAAGTGATTCAAGATCCCAACTTTAGTGACTACACTTAAAATACTAGATACTACCTTTAGTGGAAGAGTGAAATAAACCACACCTGCTTATAGGTATGTACTAGAAATAGCATCTCTTTACCAGTAGTCGTAACTCTCATCCCAGTTATCGAAATGAACCAGCAGGCGGTTATCCACCATGTCCGTGATGGTTGCGACACACATCAGCGATGGGTTCTTCCTGTCCACTGCCTCCAGCTTCATTCCCAGACGGAAACCAGAGGGGGTGACAGGCTGAGGAACAGGACATGAGGAAAGGGACATCAGCCACATTCTGGGTCAGGCCATTTAAATTACCCTTACCAACTCATTTGTTGCAGGTTGTAACCCTGAAACCCACACACCAAAACACACACCAGTCACCAGCAAGAGGGCTACAGACAAGATCTCCATGTGTTCTGGCAACAATTGCTGTTATTCCTAAGGAAAAGCTGATGTAGCTGGGAATAACAGAACCCCCAAGTACCCAACACCACTACAGATTGCAAGGTTAAGAAGCACACGGCTTGCAGCGATGAGTATTGGCTGAGGGTAAGCGTGAGCATTGCAGGTCCTGTCTTATTAGTGGAAAAGTTAAGAGACTCTTCAAGGCAAAGAGGTGACAGTTGGAAGCAGAGCAGAGCTGCACAGTTAGGCCCTGATCCTACTGAAGTCAGTACTCTGCAGCATCAAATCTGCAGCACCAAATCCATAAGATCATGGAATTCATGTCATCCAAGTGACACAAAATGGGAAAGAGTGCTATACAGGAACTGAGGCTAACAACCCAAAAAAGAAAGCAACAGTGGCTGAAGGATGAGAAATGCTCACGATCCAGCACCTCATAATGAATCCCATGGTGCACATGAGGATGTTGCTAGAAACCAGAAATTATTTTGGAAATGATTAAATTAGAGGGAAGTGACACAAATATCTTGACTGTAGGGACACAGCAAAACAGACTGGTGTAATATATTGACTAAATGGTAGTGTAAATCTTTTCCTCCAGTATAAAGGAGGAAGGGAAATACAAATTCTCATTCTGGAAAGTCAGTGCCTGGGGGAAGAAAGAAAAATTGTACTCGTTTCCCATCTTCAAAATAAATCAGAGCAGGAAGCAGCTTGTATCTGATTGTACCATGGCTGCACCTCTGCCGTGAGCACATTAAAACCACGTCAATATTCTGGTCAAAACTCACTCTGCATCAGACCTATTTGTAACATCTTATATTCAATATCACTCACAGTGCTGAGGGTCTTAAAAAGGCTTTTTGGAGCTGCCTGAGCTTTGCAGTTCTTCAAATAGGAAGCCCAACTAAATTCTCCCTCCTTGAAACCTAGAAAGAGAGATTAGAAGATTGTTTTACACAGCCCTGTTAGGTTAGATTGGGTTTTCAGACTGGAAATGACCTGGGTGGGATATGAACTTTGCACAGTCTTCAGGGTCAGGCATTTCAGCTAAAACATCTCAAGTCCAATCATTAATCTCAACCTTCAGATGTTTCTAGGAAATGGAATGCAGGGAAGAAGCAGGTTCTGAACCCAAAAGAGACTCCCTGCTTTCTGCACTCATCCAATAGCTCCTAATTTGCCTATCAACATCAATCTTTGGCAATATCAAAAGGAAGCTGTTCTGTTCTTTTGTGATTCACTCTCTTAGTTCCACCTCTTCCCTTCAAGCCATTCAGAGCAATTTTCACACTGAAATCATACTAAAAATGAAACATGCAGAGTCAGGACAACCAGTTCTTAGCAGAATTTATGGGTTCTGGTACACCATTCTATGTGTTGTTCCATACCTTTAGGAGGGAGCAGCTTATGACTTGTTTTTTCACACCAGCCAACAGGACGGATGTCTGAGGAATCAGCATTAACCCAGAAGTCATAGCACTCTGGATAACCATCAAAGTGTAATCGCATTCGGTACCCTTGTACCTAGAATAAGGGGAGCTCTGGTTATCATAAAGGGTCATAGAGAAGTTAAACACTGATCACTCCTTTCCTTTTTGGATTTAGAGATATATCTAAGATCTCATTTATTTCCCAAAAGCCAGCTTGATTTTCCCTCATTTACATCTCCCAGTTTCCATGCTCATTCCTCACTTCAAACAGTTTAGAATGAAACTGGTCAATGTGACTTCCTTGCCCAAATGCATATGGACTTTTGGAATCAAAGTCAGGAAGAGCAACTACCTCAGCCACTGTGAGAACGCAAAACCGAGAGGGGTGTTCAGGATCCAGCCCTTCCAGTTTCATTCCAGCCTTAAATCCATTTCGGCCTTGTGGGAATGACTGATACTGTGATGGGGGAAAGGAGGAAACATTTAGGTTTAATTCCTAAGGATGAAACCTAACAGAGAGCAGCCATTATGTACACTTAAAGCTTCAGATTTTCAACTCAGAAGAGAATTCCATCACTAACTGGTTGCTGCTCTAACAGACAGGCACAGATACAGAGATCAATAACGGCAAGAGCACCATAGTTCACATTTATCTGTCATTCTAATTCATCTCTTGAACGACCTGAACCATGAGAGTGCTGTAATTAGCTACGAACAAATCTTCCAGCAGATTCAAAGCCCAGTGTAGGAGGGCTGGCACAACTCAAGAACCAGGAAAGCTAAAACCCCTTTGCCTGTGTCAGCATGAGGTCAGCACTCCAGACTTCCCCAAAGAGTAACTTCTCATCTCCTAATGGTACAAGGAACAAGACATGTTTGATCTGAAGCCCAGGTACATAGCTGCTCCAGAAAACCCACAGCACTCACTGACTTGCAGTTTTCTACTGAGGAAAGCTGGACAAGGTGTTGTACAACCACAGATGAAGCACAGGACACATGAAAGACTCTCTCCAATGCTTCCTGGAGGTTGCCTAACAGCCCATTTATCCCGAGTGGCCCAAAGCAGATTAGAACAGTCATTGCTCATCTGGGAGTGAGATCCAACCAGCATTTTTACACCCAGGTTTGGGATGAGTCTCACAGGGCAGATGCTTGTCTCCACAGTGCTTCAGGGCTGGAAACAAACATGTGGAGGTTTTACTGCACCAAAACAACTCATAAATGTAACTGCTGGCTTGAGGGTAGGCTCTAATCCTACCTCCACGGTGCTAGTAATTCTGTGGTGTTGCCTTGACAAGAAACATAGCAGAAGAGTTGAAAAAGCTGCCAACCTCTCTGAACAGTTTTAGGGGAGCAGCTGGCATCCGTTCCTCTTCTAAGTAGGAAACCCAGTTCCATACCTTCTTCTTTCCAGGAACAACTAAGCAATCAAACACAAAGAGAAAAATGAATGTTTCTCTCTGATTCCTCCCGCTCTGCCCTCTCTTTTTCTCCTCCCATGTACACACCAATGCTGTTTTGCAGTTGTACCCCAAAGGAGGCAGTGTTAGCCAACTTTTGAGGCAAGGAATGAATTCCAGCAGGCGGAAACCCATGCTCATTTCTCATTAAAATAAAAGAAGTCATTTATTATATCCCAGGTCCAATGAATTGTGGCACCCGGATTGCTGGCAAGCTGCCTGTGGAGAGTTGCCACTGTAAAGTTTGGACAAGATACAGTAGCTGAAAACTGTGGGAAAGAATTCCTTCTCCTGAGATGTCACAGAAGAATAAGGGGTTAGATATAAACTAGAAGACAGCACAGAAAAGGCATATAATGACAGCTGAAATAAACCTAAAACAAATGAAAAGCCAAGTGAATCTTTGTGCAGTTCACAAGATTTTTCAGGTACAGATATATACAGATATATTTCTAACCTGCTAATACCACAATGCATCTACTAGAGAAGCAGCTACCAGTACACAGATGATGGAAACAACATCCTGGGGAGGTGCTTGGATTCATTCTAGTAGGACCATGGTTATAACACAGAAAATTACATTTAAAATGCACATTAGAAATCTCCCCCAGTTACATACGCTAACTCCTTTAAGGTATATAATAAGGACAACCCATAGTCTATGATCAATCACATGTTGTTCACAACTTATTTGCTATTTGGCATTTGTAGTCTGTGGCTATGAAGATCTGTAAAGCCAAAAGAAGAAAGATTCTTGTCTTCAGTGAGCTCTGGATCAGGTTGTCTCCTTCCAGCTCCTCTGCACTGTGCCCATCACGGAGGGAGATCTGCTATGTTCTTGCTAATACCCTTCAGAAGACTGCTGTGGTAAGAGGGTTATGTACCTCATCAGCTATTCTGCATGTGAAATGAGCTCTACTGTCCTTTCCTCTCCTGTTTACTATGATTCATTTTATAATAGCTAGTCAAAATAATCTATAAACATTAAAGAAAAGAGACTATGAGCTTAGCTCACCTTGTTTTATTGGTTTAGTGTTTCTGCGGCTTTTCATATTATTTGATTTATTCTTCTCCTAGACACAGATATGTTAAAAACAAGTTTAGCAATATTGTTTTTTCCTCCCTCTTTGATCATCTCACAATGCAGGTACAATAAGGATGTAACATGTAACTAACAGGATTATTAGCTACCATTATTTTCTCCTGAATAACCCTGCAAGAACATTAGTAGGGTATGTTACATACATAACTTTGATCCTGCAGCATCCCAAAGTGCTTTACAAATTATTTTATATATGCTACTAAGGTTCATTTCAATGTGGCTACTGAAGAAAAAAGCAAGGGCCCAAAATCTCCATTACAATGCACAGGATTTGCTTTCTGCAATGCAGAATTTACTGCTCACGTAAGCAACATCAATGTAATCCTCCATTTCTTTTCAGAGGGTCTTATGTCCATCTATGCCAGGGAATAGATACAGCAAAAAAAGTCATTTATGAAGCCCTGAAGGAAAGCAGAAGCTTCAAGTAACTACTATCATAGATGAACATCCCAGAAAACATGGTCAGGCTCAAGCCACGCTGCCATTCCCATTTCTTCTACACGGTTTTCAAACTCATGTTTAATTCACCCAGGGTTGTTGCTTCTCAAAGCAAACCCAAAAGGGCACAATCTGAAATGCAAAGCTGCCTACCAAACATGGCCCAGAAGAGACAGGGGGGCAGTTTCAAACAAGGAGGAAGGGAAAGAGACAGAATGCAAGGACTTCTGAGAACATACAGACTTTACAACATCTCATACACAGCACAGGGAAAAGCTGAGCAACAAGATGAGTTCAACTGCTCATGACATCAGAAGTTCCAGCTTGCATTCCCAACAAACACCTGCCCCAGTGTCTCTGCATTACAAAAGCACGTGCAATACGTGAAGAGAAAGAAAATGGTTCAAGCCTGAGATGCTACACATGAGGTAGCTGAGTGCAGGCTTGCACAAAAAAGCCCCTAAAGGGAGTAAGGTGCTTAATGAAGGGTAAGAAAAGATCGGGTCGGGACTGAGGTACTTGTATTCATCCGTCATTAATAAAGGTTTCTAGTAGTGCAGTGAGTGTACTTGCAAGTACCTAATAAAAGGGAATCAAACTCTGTGGTTTGACACTCATCTTCAGTATCACATCATAGTCCTGGAATCTAGTTTGGAGGCATGTGGGTTTATTGCTGTGAAATACACTTGGTGCTCAGGGCTATACCTAAACCTATACACTCACAGTCTGAAATCCTGACTCTGACTTCACACAAGCTATCCACCCTTCTGACTCCCCAGACTTCACACCAGATATTCTTATTACTGATGTAAATCAGACTCAGCCCCAGACCAATCTCCTGGGCACAGCACAACCTCCCTCAGCTCAGCTTGCATTGCACACTGAAACCTGAGAGAGCTGGCCCAGCTTTTCACAGTTCTCCTTAAAGAAAATACATGCAGCCTTATTTACCTCGTCCTCATCTGCATTTTCCTCGTCATCCTCAGACTCCAGGAGCAGTCTCCTCTTCCTCCTGAGACGTTTGACAGGTCTGTCAGCCTCGTTCACCTGACAGCCACTGCTGGGATTAACATTTCTACTACTTCCCCTGTTTCTGCAATCATCTGGAATGTCTCTGGTATCGCTAAACATCCAAAATTGAAAACAAAAGGCAAATTAAAAGTGCAACAGTTGTCCTGCAGCATTCCCATTGCCTTTGTGACTCTTCAGAAGAGCGAGCACCTGAAGAAGTGAATCCCATCTGCAGGATTTGCCAGACAGGTACCTTTTCAAAGCACTCCAAAGTGCTGGCACAGCTCCCACCACCACAGTTTGAAAGGGGTTTTAATTCTGCCTTTTTACAACTCTACAGGAAGTTAGGACATCATCCTTATCTGTAAGGTGGGGAACTGAGGCATCAAGCAGGCAGCCAGCACTTCTGCAGGCTGTGAAGAGAAACAGGGATGGAGCTCTGGAGAAGACCTTCCCTTGGTCAGGCACAGGAGCCTCAAGGGAAAGAGGAAGGTCACTGGCAGCTCTGCCATGGTAACACTTGCTCTGAGGACTTCATTCTCCTCACAGCAACACTTTTCTCTAACCCAGTGTTCTCTTTAAATGTTTTCAGACACAGAAAAAGAAGAATCTGGGTTTTTTTACCTGTCCCTGTGCTGCTGGGAGCCCATCTGGGTACAGAACTTTCCATTCCCAAAGCAATCCATTGGCTCACAGGGTTGGAAACCGGAGCAGAGCGCAGCTCTGTGGGCACTGCAGAAGCAAAGACAGACAACTCTTACATTAGAATGTGAAAGCACCTTTCATGCAATTAGTCCTGTCAAAGTCCCTTGCAAACTTTCATTAAGTGACCCTTGGTCACTACCTTGAGAGGCAGAGTGAGCCCGTTCTGATCTGTAATGTTTTCAATTTGGAGCAGCCTGCCTCCTGTACAGGTGCTAAAGGAGGATATAAACTCAAGGCTAGAAGCAGGACACTGCTACAAATCTTGTTATAGTTCTTTATTCCTAGTAACCCTCTCCCTTGAAAGACAAATGTCAAACAAGTCCATCTTGCTTGAATACTTTTAATATGGTTGGTTAAGTCGAGAAACTTCTGCCTTTATATATACTTTGTGCATGGGAAAATCGTCCATAGGCAGCCTCTAAAAACAGCACATTATTGATGGGAGAATAGAAACAATTATTTCTACATCCAGCAAGGGATCTATGGCAATCTTTCATCTGAATGAAAGCATGAAAATGTAAGGAATAACTCCAGCATCTCATTTATGTTTATTTTCTCCTATGATCTGAGTTCTTCCTAATGCAAATTACACAGTGATACCCATTACCAGGCATCTGCTCTGCGCTGATGCTCAAGTAACCTGACGTGCCAGTTGTGCACAGTGGCTCCTCCACACATGTCATTCCTGTTCTGCATTCAGTGGCAGTGCTTGCGTGCACTGGTTTGATCAATCCAGTTCTGAACGCACCATTAAACACTTTAGAAGACAAACCCCCCACGCTCCAGAACACTGAGATATGAGTCACTTTGCTTTTTCTTTAAAGCCATTTCCTTAGTCTCCCTCCCAGCACTTGCACTCATTCTGTTACGACAACTGACGTTGCTCATTTCTATTTGATTGCTCCCTCTAGCTGAATATGGATGTCAGATGATCCTGGCTTGAATTGGGCAGAGAGTCTGCCTGCACACAGACCACGCATACCTGCCCATATCACACATTGAAGCCTCTCCTTGTGCTGTCAGGGACCAGTGATTCCAAGCAGGGAAAAGACAGAACAGGGAAAACTTGGAAGAACCAAGAGCACCTGAAGAGCTCTGCTCAAGTAGAAGTCACACTCATCCATGGAATAACCTGGACCAACATCCCAGAATCACCCCCTCAAGAGATCCTAGGACCTGGGTTAAAACTCAGCACAAGAGGGATGCTTGACCCCATCAGCAGTCTCGTCCAGATCATTTCTACAACCAATCACACTTCCCTTGCACACAGGCGAGCACAGTGCATGCACCAGGTACCGTTACAACTACACAGTAATTACACTCAAACTACTCCTTAAATACTGGCACTAAGGCAGTGACTCATCCCCCATGCTGCACCTGGAGCACCACACAACATACCTTTCAGTCAGACCTGCTTCTAGAAGCTCTTTCAGAAACCATATTCTCTCCCACAGCAACAAGCTCACCTTCCAAACCAGTGCTAGAGGCAGCAGAAGTGTCGGGAGCAGCAGGAGCAAAGCTGGTCGGGCTGGCATTTACTGCTAAGGCTGGAAGAGTTTTTATGGCTTCTGCTTCAGTAATGACTTCTAACAGTCCAAACTCATTTAAACAGAACTGCAGGTTAAGAGAAGAAAGCAAGCAAATAAGTATGAGTGAAAAGGCTAGGAAGTGGGGCAGGAAGGAACAGGATTCCCTGAGGAGCAACTAGGTATGGGACAAAAAGAAGTGGTGGAATAGAAGTTAAAAAGCATTAAGTAACAATAAAAGCCAGAAACACCCAAGAAAGCTTTCCCTCAAAGTGCCACCAACAGGCCCCAAAACTATCCCAGCAATACATTTTGTGGTCCATGAAGGAAAACAACTTAATTCTACTTGCACTGCATGTGCTCCCCTTATAAACCCCAGATATCTGATGAACGCACCAGGAGAAACACCCTCAGAAAAGCAGTTTAAGCCAAACCTCTGCTCTGATGGTCCAAATCCGTCCAACACAGCACCATTACATTTATTTCAGATATGACATACAGCAACTTCCCTAAAATCCCAGCTCAAGCAGAAACCACCAGCCATTGACACAGATGTCACATTTCAGTGGAGAACTGGTCCAATACGTCTCCCAGCTGGTGCTGGCTGGGATTTAAGGATGTCAGAGCACAGTGAGCATCTGGAGCTGCAAGAGGCCAAGCAGTTCCCAACCCTTCTTCACTGACACTTGACAGTCTGGTGGGAAATGAACTTCCCAGAGGAGCAGAGGAATGCAGGGATAGGCAGAGGCTGTTGATGAACAGCAGGCACTGAGAAGTAGCCTTTCATCATATGGTAACTTCTTCCTTTCACAGTACCTTACTAGTGAAAGGCACAGTGGGCCCTGACACAAAGACAGAAGGGAGAGTCTCAAATCCAAATCAAGCATTCCCAAATGACCTAGTGTTGTGGTTTAAGCTCAGCCAGTAACTCAGCACCATGCAGCTGCTCGCTCATTCCCCTCCTTCTTCCGTCCCTGGTCCCAGTGGGATGGGGAGGAGACGCAGAAGAATGTAACTCCCGCGGGTTGAGATAAGAACAGTCCAGTAACTAAGGTATAACACAGAACTGCTACTGCTACCATTAATAAGGGAAGTAACAAGGGGAGAGAACAGGAAACTAAGAGGGGAAAGGAAAAAAAAACAATGAACACAAGTGATGCCCAATACAACTGTTCAGCACCAGCCGACCGATACCCAGCCCAACCTGAGCAGCGATCTGCCTTCTGGGTACCTCCCCCAAGTTTCTATACTGGGCATGATGTGCTGTGGTATGGAACACCTCTTTGGCTAGTTTGGGTCAGGTGTCCTGTCTCTGCTCACTCCCAGCTTCCCGTGTTCCTCCTCACTGGCAGAGCATGGGACTGAAAACTCCTTGATGAGAGTAAGCATTACTTAGCAACAACTAAAACCATCAGGGTGTTACCAGCATTGTTCTCAGGCTAAAGCCATAATACAGCACTGCACCAGTTACTATGAAGGACAAAAATAACTGTTACAGCTTACTATGAAGGAGAAAAATAACTGTTACAGCTGAATGCAGGACACCTAGAAATATGCCTAAGAGAAGCCACAGGCAGCAGGTAAGTAGGTGACATGCACCATGAGTAAGACCAGGTGCTGCAGTGTCTGAGCTCCCAGTCCCAAATCCCCAAAGTTTAGACCCTTAAGAAACCATGAGCTGCCTTCCATGGAGGCTCTGCTCCAGCTCAGACATGCCTCCCATCCCTGCATATTCCTTGTCCTACTCCAGGCCAAGAGTAAACTCAGATGCAGAACAAGACAACCCCGTACACACAGAGTAAAGCACTCGCACCATGAGGCAGCTATGGAAAAGGAATGACAGGCAGCAGACTTCAGACTCAAATCCTTTAAGGTTAATGAAATCTCAGGCAATGAAGGAACACTTCATCTGTCCAGCTAAAATGATTAAAGTGTGTCAAATAGTGTCAATGTGCATCTTTTATTAGTCCCCATCTGCAAACACAACGCAGCACCAAGAAATAGATAAATAAATGAAAGAGTCACCTCCGTGATGAGCAAACAGCTCTAAAGGTCACTCCCTCCTTGATCCTACTGCCTGCAACACAGAGCTACTGAACTCCACACTGAAAGAGACAAGTCAGAGGTGGGCTGCATTAGCAAGCTCTGCTCCAAAGCTTTTATTCACAGCACTCGATTAGACTGAGATCTTTTCTCAGCCATCTGCTCTGCTCAAACCTGCTAAACCCAGTTGAAAAGCATTTGCTTCACCTCTGAAGCAGGCTTCTCATTGTATTGAGAATAACCGCTCTTCCTCTACTCCTGCATGCTTCCTGAGCTCAGGCTCCCGCCTCCAGCACACTATCAAAGCCTTATCCCCAATGTTCTTCCCTCTATTCCCTTTTCTTTATCCGAAAACTGTATTTCTTAAAGGTTCAAAGATGTTGGACTTGCTTCTAAAAAGCTCCCTTCTTCCTCTGCAGCCTGGAAGAGACAGAGCATCATTTTTATTTCAGCAAAAAGAGAAACAATCCATTGCAGAGAAAACAGAATTCCAAATGGACCAGGTTTCCTGCAGGAGACCATCCAGTTTAGAGGATAAACCCATCGCCTTCCTCAAATGCCGGCAGAGCAGCAGCACAGGGGTGCAGGTCACTGGAGTGCTGTGGCTGGTAAGGAGAGCTCAGCATCACGAGCAGGAGGGCAGTGGAAGGAGCATCTCCAGAGCATTATGTGCCATTAAGCAGCAGAGCTCACAAGGAGCTGAGCTCGCAGCTGGAGGTGGGGAAGGTGCCAGTGTCACTCTGGATTAGCAGATGGGGCTCTGCATAAAATGACCTGTTCTGATTGGACCCAAACCAGGCAAGACACAGGCTGTTACCTTTAATGATGTGATGGTGTCCCTGCAGCCACAGGAACTGGGGGAGCCCAGCACCAGAAGCCAAAACTCAACAAATATCTTTATGAGCAGTTGCTGATTGGATGGTGAGGACTGGCTGAGCCATGGAGGCAACCTCCTGTGTCATCCCAGGACTCTTCAAGGCAGTATCCCTCATTCCTACATTCTGGAAAGGCATAACTGTGCTATCAGGACTGCATCTTCCTTTACACAGCAGAGTTCAATAGAGCATGGTAGCTAATATGAAATCCACACAAATAATCTGTCTTTCCTAAGAATGTTTTGAAGGGAATTAAGGAAAAATATCTTTGTGCATGCAAGAACTGGGATACAGCAGAAAGGGAGGGGGGAAAGGATTAAACAGCAAAAAAAAAGTGTCTGACATTTCTGCAGGGAAAAAGAAGTGTTTGGCATCTTAAGAATGAAGCAGTTTCCTGTGCAGGCAGTTACCATGTTTCAGCTAAAGCTTTCTACCTGTGGTACTCAGTCCTCTTATATACCTAATATAAAATACAATGTTATCTGGTGTCGTTCAGTTTAATAAATAACATGGTGCTTTGTTGATTCTCTACTCTTAAGAGGAATCAATACACAGGAAGCTGCTTCTGCAAAGGAATGGTACT